CCATATGCAAATAAATGATCATAGATCTTTAGCTCAACCATACACAAAAAAAATTAACTCCAAATGGATCAGCAACCTAAATGTATGAACTGAAACTACTGAACTTCTAGGGGGGAAAAAAGTGAGATCTTTGTGACCTTGGGCTGGGCAAAGATCTCTTAGGTATAACTCCCAAAACATTAACCATTAGAAAAATTTAAAAATCACCCTGGCTGGTATAGCTCAGTGGATTGAGTGCCCGCCTATGAACCAAAGGGTCGCCAATTCAATTCTAAGTCAGGTCACATGCCAGTGTTGCGGGCCAGGTTCCCAGTAGGGGAGTGCTCCAGAGGCAACCACACATAGATGTTTCCCTTTCTTCCTCCCCTCCCCTCTAGAAAAATAAAATAATTTTTTTGTTTAATTTAAAAAATGAACTTCAAGAAGCAACTGGCATTGTTAAGCAGTGATGTGCTGTCACTGAAGTGACTCGGTATGACTGGATTTTTCATAATCGCTAACAGGTCAAAATGCAAATCTCTATGAAGTCCCTGACCAGCAAGACCATCTCCCTGGAGATGGAGCCCAGTGACACCATGGAGACTGTGAAGACCAAGACCGAGGATAAGGAAGGCACATCCCCCATCCTCCCCCACCCTCACCCCCTGCCCCCACCAGCAGACCTCATCTTTGCAGGCCTGCAGCTGGAAGATGGCCGCACTCCTTCTGACTACAACATCCAGCAAGAGTCCACCCTGCATCTGGTCCTCCATCTACGGGGTGGCTATTAATTCTTCAGTTTTTCATTCACAGTGCCCAGCGATGGCCACTATTCCGCATTCTAGCCATTTGTCCCAGTTTAAGTTTAGAAATTACCAGTTTCAGTAACAGCTGAACCTGTTCAAAATGTTAATAAGGTTTCATTGCATGGTAGGAAAAAAAACTCAACTTCCCCAAGATTTAAAAATTTTGCTCCTCAAAAGACACCATTATGAAAATAAAAAGACAAGCCACAGACTGGGAAAAAGTATCTGCAAATCACAGAGCTGATAAAGGAAATGTATCATCGTATCCAGAATACAGAACTCTTACAACTCATTAAGACAATCCAATTTTTAAAAACTGAAGGAAAAAAAAGACTAAAACAGACATTTCACGCGCACACACACACACACACAAGCTATACAAATGGCCATTAAGCACACGGAAATATGCTCAACATCATCAGCCATCAGGGAAATGCAAATCAAAACTACAATGAGATATCACCTCACACCCACTAGGATGGCTATAACTGAAAAGACAGACAATAACAGATACTGACAAGGACATGGAGCAGTGGACCCCTCACACAGTGCTGGTGGGAATAAATGTAAAATGGAACAGATACCATGGAAAAGTCTGGCAGTTCCTCAGAAGGTTAAACATCGAGTTACCCTATGACCCAGCAGTTCCACTCCTAGGTATCAGCCCAAGAGAAATGAACAGGGCCACACAGCTGTTCACAAACACTCACAGCTGCATTATTCATTAATAGCCAAAGAGGAGAAACAACCCAGAAGTTCATTAATCGGTGAGTAGATAAAATATACTGTATCTCTACAATGAAGTACACGCATGCTACAACATGGATGAAGCCAGACACAAAAAGACTACATGTTGTATGATTCCCTTCGTGCCTAATGTCCAAAAAGGGCAAATTTTAAAGACAGAAAGCACATTAGTGATGGAGTGGGAGTAGGGGCTGAACGCAGAGGCACGAGGAAACTTCGGGGGGCGATGTAAGTGTCTAAACCTGACTGCAGCTTATAGAACTGCACAATTCCGTAAATTCACTAACTCACCTAATCGTATGTTCACAGCAGATGAGTTCTAACTATACCTCAATAAAGTTGTTAAAAGCAAGATAAATACAATGAAAACAAGTAAATGTTACCAAATTCAAGCAAAGTACTGCTGGAGTGCACTTGGAAAGGCCCAGAAAAAAAGAAAATTAGGCAGATCTTGAAAGTTCTCACCACACACACACAAAGTAACTGAGGTAATGGTGTTAACTTGTGGTAATCATTTCCCAGTATATACATATTGCAAAGCAACACACTGCATACCTTAAAGCTGCACAATGTTATATGCTAATCATATCTTTAATAAAGCTTGGGAGGCCCTGGCTAGTGTGGCTCAGTGGACTGAGCACCACCTGTGAAAGGGCACCAGTTCAGTTCCTGGTCAGGGTACATGCCTGGGTTGGGGGCCTGTGAGAAGCAACCAATCAATCTATCTCTCACACATTGATGTTTCTCTCCCTCTCTTTCTCCCTTATTCCATCTCTCTAGAAGTAAATAAATAAAATCTTTAATAAATAAACAAGTAAATAAAGCTGCATAAAAAACTGGACAGTGTTAGAGGTGTTTAAAAATATTAACACCTGCCCTGGCAGGTAGCTCAGCTGGTCAGAGCCACGTCTCAATATGCCAAGGTTATGGGTTCAATCCCTGGTCAGGCACATACAAGAATCGCATGAATAAGTGGAACAACAAGTTGAGCTCCCTGTCTCACTCTAAAAATCAATTAAAAAATACAATAATCCCTGACTGGTGTGGCTCAGTGGATTGGGCAGAGTACTGCAAACTGAAAGGTTGGCAGTTCAATTCCCAGTCAGGGCACATGCTTAAGTTGTGGGCCAGGTCCGCAATTGGGGGTGTTTAAGAGGCAATCAATGGATGTTTCTCTCCTTCTCTTTCTCCCTCCCTTCCCCAGGAAATAAATAAATAAAATCTTTAAAAAAATAAAATAGAATAAAAATTAAAAATATTAGCACTCAAGGATTTTTTCTCCTCAATATAATCAACTAAATCGGCAGAAACCTGAAAAGATAGTAACTTTCTCATAAAAACAATTGGAAGATCCAATAGGGGCACTCGCTAAAATCATCTCAAATCCCCCTGTACTACTAAGGTCCCGTCTGACTCTCTAAGCAATGGAAGAGACCCTCTGACTGACCCTCCCTAAGCAATGAACGAGAAAGCAAAAAGGAGAGCCTTTGGACTGGACAACCCCCAAACACTGCTGTCACTCGCAGCAAAACCAAGATGGCCCATGGCATTCACCTGGGTGCAGCCCCAAACTATTAGTCATGGCTGACTGGGGTGCTCATTGGGGAGCTCATTGGGGAGCTCATTGGTAGGGTGCTCACTGAAACCAAGTCCAGGCTCAGAGGGAAACAGTGTCCTGACCGATAAGCAAGGTCTGCCACCCAAAACCCAGAAATGGAGCTGTAAATGCCTTGTATTTGTTTTGTCCAAAGGTGCAAGTGAAGGGACAGCCAGTTTGCTCTGGTCACAGATGATACAAGGTGGCACATTAAACACTTTGGTATCTCCACCATGCCACTGCTAAGTGCTCTTAGGGTCTGAAATGGTCACCTGATTTCTTTCTTAAGCCCTTATAGAGCCAAATACTTTTCCAGGACCTCTTAGGTCCCAGGCACTGTTCTGATTACTGTACAAGGATCAGCCCATTTCACAGAAGAGAAAACTGACACAGGGGGCTAAGCAACTTGCCTAAGATCATTCAGCTAAAGACAGGCTGAAAGAACATCAGCGATGGAAGAAAATGACTTCAAACAATCGCTCTATCAGATCTGGAGAAGTCAGCCCACACAACCTAAAGAGTATCCCTATACCAAGCTGGGGTGCCCTGCCCTGCCCTTGTGTCTAGGACACAAGCAGGCATGCCTCTCTGACTAGTAGGCAACAGTCTCTTCTGTGGAGTTCTAACTGCATCGTGGTTTGGCTGACCTAAATCCAAGCCACCCCCTTTACTTCCAGTAGCCCCAGACACTCCACTTCTTTCAACTTCCAAAATCAGGACAGAGCAGTTCTTAAACTTGAGTGAACATCAGACTCACTTGGGGAATGGGATTTAAATGCAGGTTCCTAAGCCCCCAGCAGGTCTGAGGAAAGGGCTGGGAACTGCATGTTTCACAAGCTTCCCCACTGGTGGAAGCAGGTGGTCCTGAACCACACTCAGAGGAAACCCGCCTGGTGGATGCCCACAGGCGAACTGTGAGGTCTAGAAGACACGTTGGTTCACATGCTTCAGAGGCCAGGAATAGAGGACCCTGTCGGAAAGTCTCCATGATGTCCAAACGCCCCATCCTCTTTCTTCTCTCCTTGCCATGGCAAATAACTAGATGAAGAGATGGACCTGGTGAGGAACTGGAGCTAAAGTCCTGGGTCAGGCCACACTCATTAGACACAACAGAACAGAGAAGGAACAACCCAACAGGGAGTTGGTCTCTCGGTCCGAGAAGTGCTTCCATCCAGCTCTGAGACCTTGAGAAAGTCACTTCCTCCCTGGTGGCTCAAGTCTCGCGGCACAAGAAAAAGAAACAAACAAACAGGGACCAGAGAACCCAGAGGTCCCCTCCAACCCTTCTCCTGTTCTCCAGCAAGATTCCCAGCCTCTTCCTCACGGAGTATAATCATCTTGTAGGGCCGAATCCCACTCCCTCCACCATACACAAGCGCCAGAAGGTCACAAGAGAGCTAACTAAGCCTCTGTCCATATGAGATGGAGAGTTTCTGAAGGCCCAGCCACCAAAGAAAACCAAATCCGGCGATGGTGTGATGTCGATCTTTATGACAATGACCACTTTGTAAGGATAAGCGAAGCGCCAGACACCGTGCTAAGCCCTCGCCAGCGTAGCGCCCAGAACCTCATCCCTGCCCTACGGCCCTAGAAATTTCCCAATGGTCTCCCCAGTGTGCAAATAGGGAGCTGAAGCACTCAGGGGCGAAGTGACTGAGCCAAGGTCACCCAGCCTGGACGAGGCGGTCAGCCCGGGGCTCCCCACAAACCCCGGGATCCGGGTCGAGGGGGCGCGAAGCTCCGGGCTGGCAGACAGCAGGAAGGGCTGGGGACCCAGATGAGCCCCCTCCCGCCCGTGAGCGGAGGGCCCCGTGTGGGCGCGCCTTGCCGGCCCCGCCTCCCGCCAAACCCGCGCCTCGCTGTCGGCTCACCGGACTTCGGAGGGTAGCGATAGGCCGAGTTCGCCTGGATGTCGATGTCCTCCACGCCCGCGATGCGGCGGCTCAGGATGGAGCCCATGGTGCGCAGCGGGGTAGGTCGGACCCGGACCGGGGTGGGTCGGGGACGGCTGCAGCGGCGTCTTCACGCAGACATGGCCTGGATCAGGCCTCACGGACGCTCCCCCAAGGCCGAAAAGCCTCAGCCTCGGAGCCCCCACCCCCGGTTCGCCCGGGGCCGGACGCCACGGAGGCCCTCCGCACCCCCAGTATCCGAGGAACCTCGGGAAATGGAGTCCCCTCTCCTCTGAGGGCAGCAGGCTACGGCGCGGCAAGTACGCCTATTAACTACATTTCCCAGGACGCTCCTCGCCCGGGTCCGCTGAAGTTGTTGATCAGCGCTCTGGGACGTACCAAGTGAACTGAAATCCAAGAGGCGGAACCATCAACCCCACCGCAAATTGTCCTGCCCTCTGCATTCCAAGCACGAAACTAAATTATAACCTTTTAGCCTCTAATAACCTTCATATATAGACCCTTCTGTTTACCCCCTTCCATTTACTCCTCTCGGAAATATCTCCCTGTGCCGCATGGTTCTCCCCACTTCCCAGGGTTTAGCTCCTGCCCCGGCCAGCAGAGGGCATACTTACCAATCACAGGATAAGAGCTGGGGTGGAACCTAAGCTTACCTGGAGAGGTGCTCAAAGAGGAAGCAAAATGCTTGTTTTAGCCTTTCCAAGGCATCTCTCTGGTGCCACCTCCAAAAAAATCACTTTGAAGACATAATTTTACAGCCCCCTTCAAAGAGGCAGTAGACCTCTCCCCACTTTACAGATAGGGAAACTGAGGCACAAAGAAAGAAGATCCACATATAAGGTTGGAATTAAAGCCTTGCAAGTTGTAACAAACTTTACTAGCTTTCGGTTTACACAAAACTCGGCAGGAAACACAGGGATGTGTTTTTACCTAGTTTTTTGGATCCTGCAGATTAGTGAGGAAACACTTAAAACGGTAAAAAGTATAAATGTTAAGTGTGGTGGGTGCTGTGAGGCAATGGATTGAGATGAAATAATAGGAGAGACCTACTATTGATAGAAAATTCAAGGAAGGCATCTCTGAGGTGACATTTAAGCCAGGAGGCAAACTCCGAGCAAGTAGGCCAGGTTCCAAGCGAGGGGAATAGCATGTGCAAAGACTCTGAGGCAGCAAAGATCTATGACCCAGCAGCTCCAAGGCCAGTGTGGTTAGAACCAAGTAAATGGAAGAGTATGAGTACAGAGATCAGGAAGAAGTGAAGCAGTGGCCAGACCTCAAGGCCCCCTCAGTCAGCCAGCATTGAGTCATTTGAAACAGAAAAAAAAGGCCCTAGGCCCAGTTCATGGCCTTCTGGGGTGAGTACCTCAAATCTACACTTCTTAAACCTCTTTAGAGGGTCCTCACCTATTCATTCTTGTGCTCCCAGAGCCAGTCACCCAGTGTGTGTCTGATAAACACATCTGTGGAGCGATTGAAAGGATGGAGGTGGGGAGGCAGCCAGGGAATGCTGAGAAGGCAAGGGCCCTGAGCCTCTATGAATTGGCTATGTCAGCTTTGGCAAGGCTCTTACCTTCCTAGACTTCAGAAAAGATGAGGGCACTTCCTGAAATGCCTTTTATTCCCCACCCATCCCCCACCTACTGGCTTCAGCTGGCTGGCCCCATCTGAGCCTGCTAAGGATTCCAAAGTCCACTTTCTGGCCTGGCTGATCCTGGCGGAAAACAAGGTTTTTTACTTCCCTGCTGCTCCTGGGAAAACAAGCCAGACGGGGTGCTGGGGGGTTGGGAGGACCAGAGGGGTAACCTTTGCTCCTGCCAGCCCCACCTGTTCTGGGCTGGACAAGCCTGAACAGGTACCTCAGTTGTGCCTGGATAAGAGTGAGAGAGGACATTTCCTGCCTCTCTCAGCAAGAAAAGCCTCCAGTGGGCCCTGAAAGCCCCCCACCTTACCAGAAACACACCCTGCTGGCTCACTGGGTGCCTGCTTTTCTCCACTGGCAAAAATCTAAGAAGACCGGGATTCCAGCCTTAGTTTCATTATCTGTAAAAGGGTGCTTGGGCTCACTAGACAGAGGCAAAGAGATGAGTGCTAGAAATAGTTCACTGGATGTCAGGTCTATGCTGGCATTAATCCTCCATAGCAGTCCTGGGAGAGCTCTCAGTTCTCACCTTGCCTTCTACAAGCGAGGAAACTGAAGCTCAGAACCAGAGTAACTTACCCAACATCAGTCATTAACTGGCAGAGTCAAGACTGGCATCTAGGTCTGCCTGGCTCCAGAACCTGCTTACCTTCCACCCTGCCCTGTTGCTATCCCAGTGGTAACAGTAGCCATATTCAGAGCTGCCTACCCTGTGTGGAGCACTTTGCTCACATTAATTCGTGTTTATGATGCTTTACAAAGGTGAGGGGCATTCTTAAGAAAGAGCAGAAATCTCCTGGTATCATCAGGGTTTGCAAAAAAAATAGTAGACAGTGAATGATCCCCCACAAGGCAGAAAAGAGGCCCAAACTTTATTTTCCAAGTGGACAGGCTGAAGCACCCACTGCAAGAAAAGACTGAGTCCTCTTTCTGCCAATGGGCCAAGCTCCCAGCTCCGCACTCTAGCAGGGCTCCATTCCCTCCCCCACCCTTCACAACCCTAGGACATTTCAGGCCCTGTCCACATGTCCCCCATTCTCCTCCTTCCCACCAGCCAAACTCAGAACCCCTGGAAGGGGTGAGAGACCCAGGAAAAGCTCCCTAGAGAGCGCTGCAGGTCCCTACTGCTCCCGACCCAGTATGAGACAGTCCCCCTACCCCCAATCCAATTCTGCAATTAAGGCTCTTGGCAGGGGCGGACTCCTCTGTAACCATTCACACTCAAAACATCGCCTAAACTGACTGGATCCCTCTGCCACCATCTGGTCCCCACACTGCCACAGCCAGTGGTTCTAATGTGAACAACGGATCAGATCTATTAAAACTCCTCAATGGGCTTTAACCCCGTACCCCCAGGGCTGGTATCTCCTTCCTAAGGGCATTTTCCACACTTACAATTCTTCATCTGCCCCCGGGATTTTTTATTTTGACACACGCCCACACCCAGCCCCGCCACCTGCCGACCCCTCTTGGGTTTCATCTCTCCGCGGTACCCCGGCTACGTCAGAGGTCAGTACAGTCAGGACTCAACAGTTGCTCAGCAAATGAAACCGGGGCCCAGGAAGCGTGAGCAATCGGGGAAAGATCATTCAGAGCAGTAGTGACCGAGCCACCCCTCTGCTGGGGTTTCTCCTCAACTCCCTGCCGGGGTCCCAGTTCCAAGACCTTCCTCCTGCCAGCACCCGAACCCCGAGACCCAGACCCGCGAGGTCAACCGGAAGCGGCGCGTGCGGGTCTGTAAACACAGCCCGCAACTCCCCACCCCAGAGTTCTCCAGCCCCGCCTCCGCCCGCCACGTGACACACCCCCGTCTACTCCGACCCAGCGCCCGCCCCCGATATCGTCTCATTGGGCGGCCAGCTTTGTTTACCTTATATGGCCAGGTCCTAACACCCTGTGGTCGCTCATTGGCCGAGAAGCGGCCTCACTCACTAGACGTCACACGAGACCCAACGAAGCAAATAAACTGGGGCATTCTGGGAATACGAGTTCTGGGTCTCCCCGGAACTGGTTCCGCGCGGTCCTGCAGTCCGTACGTTAAGGGCTAGCTTTCCGACAAAGCACAACAGATTTTGCGTGGGAACGTAGAAGGGCCACAGGGAAGGAACCTCGAGGCAGCAATGACTGTCGGCCTCGCTTGCCTCTCCCAGGCGCCATCCCTACCAAATCCCAGAAGTTCCTCAGGCATACTGTGTACCTGGTCTAGCGCCAGGCCGGGGAGAGGCCCCCTTCAAAGTGCGGTTTGCGCGGGGCCGGGGGAGGGAGTTGAGGAGACTCGGAAGACTTCCTGGAGGCGGTGATTTTGAGCCGAGTCCTAAAGAATAGATTCATTTATTCACTAAACGAATATAGACGCCTACTGTGTGCCGGACCTTCGAGGCCTTCCGGCCAGGTGCTGCCGATTTGTGCCACAATTGCTATAGTGTTCCCCTCACCTAAGGGTGGGCCCACTCACAGAGAGCTGTCAACCACACCGAAGCTCGGGAACCAAAGTGTTGACAAAGACTACTGTGGCCTCCACTTGCCGACCCCTGTTAGTGTCAGGACAGGGTCGGGTAGTCTCTCGTCAAGACCCGCCTCTGCACACTGTAGGTGCTGGGCCCCGCGACAGCTCGGCTCGAGGCCCCCGATGGAGCGCGGGCGGGAGCGTCCCGGACTACATCTCCCAGCATGCCTCCCGCGGCCTCGGAGCGAGGCGAGGCACGGTGAGTCAGAGCCGCACAGTAAATATTTGTATTAGCCGGAGCCGGCTCGCTAATGGTGGACGCGTGAGCGGAGAAGCGCGCGGCGGCGGGAGGCCGGAGCGGGCATCGCAGCGGCGGTGGCGCCATGTCCGTGAACATGGATGAGCTTAAGCACCAGGTCATGATCAACCAGTTCGTTCTAACGGCCGGCTGCGCGGCCGACCAGGCGAAGCAGCTGTTGCAGGCGGCCCACTGGCAGTTCGAGGTGCGCGAACCGGTTCGGCGGGGGGTGGGGGTGGCCGTCCCGCGTGGCAGCGCGTGCCGCGGAGCGTGTGCGGTGGAGACACATGCGGGTGCGCGCTCCGCGGGTCGCGCGCCAGGGTTCGGGCCCCAGCGCGCACACTTAGCGGCGTCCTGTCGGGTCGGCCGCGTCTACGATGCCCCCGGAAACGCCGCCCGCGCTGGGTGAGCGGGAGGAGCGGCCTGCTCCCGCTGGGACCCGGAATCTCAGACTCCAAGTCCCCTGGCGGTGGGAATGTGGGGGCCCCCACTATTGTTCCGGGTAAGGCCAGGGCGGGGCGGTGCTGGGGCCAGGACGGGCAGTGGGGCGGGCAGCCGGAAGGAGGACGCCCAGGCTTGGGCCAAGCTGGAAACGCGCTGTACCCCGTCCATCTCCCCTCCCCGAGCCGCGGGATTGGGGCAGGAGAGCCCTGGGGCTCACGGGCAGAGTAGCCCCGCGTGTGGTTCTGCGTGCCTGGTGGGCAGCCCGGAGGCGCGTGTGCCAACGTACATGTGCACTTGTATTTACGCACGCGCCACGCTGCGTGTGGGCATGTTGGCGTGTGTAAACACGCAATCTACCTGGGGCGCGGGTGCGGAGTATGTGTTCTTTGTACATACACGTCTCCGTGTTACAGCTAGTGACCGTGCGTGTACACTCAAGTGTACAGTGCTGTTTTGGGGCCCTCTGTGCTGGTAAAGATATCTACTTGCACCGTGCAAGCGTGGTGTGCGGTTCACTGGCTTTCAGTCAGCTGAACAGGGGGTGGGACTACCCCAGTCTGGCCCTCATTCCCCAGGCCTCTCTAACCCATTGAGCACTAGGGTCCCGGCTTGTGCTGCCAAGATACCACTTTCCTTAGCTCAGCAGCCCCAGAAATAATCCAGGTTGGTATCCAGGTTGGATGAGCCCAGAGCCTCTTGAACTCCATTCCTCACAGGTGTAAGGAACCAGCCCCAGTCCAGTTGTAGTGTCTGTGCCTAGCAGGGCCCAAAAACCTGGTTTCTTATGGGAAGTCCGCCCAGGGAAGGTGCTTGGGCTTGAGGGAGGGACCAGGAGCCAGAGGGACTTCCTGAGGGTTGGAAGAGATTGGAATTCCCACCCTGAGTTTAGGCCACCCAGTGGCCTATCCACCCAAAGGATCTTTGCTCACCTCCTTCCTGCCAGAGATCTAATGACTTTGTATGGCCCTCACACCAGAAGATGCTCTTTCTCTAAGCAGGTCTCTTCCCCTTTCTGACCTGACTTTCTTCCTCTGTACCTTGGGGGTGTGAGTTGACCTCTAAGGGGTGAATGCCTGCCTCCCTATTCCCAGGCTGGCAGCCCCACCCTCCAGGAAGCTAGCTCCCTAATCAGCTCATTTGTCTCTGGGGCTGGATGTGGCAAAACTTGCAAAACCACATTCATGGCAGTTTGCTTGAGTCGCACATCAGCATACATGGCTCCTTTCCTGCATGGGGCTGGGCAGGCAGGTGTCCAGGGGGCAGGCACTCTCCAGCTCAGCCCACAGAGCCTGGCACCAGCTTGATGGTCACTCAGGCAGTGCAGATTGGTGTTGATAGATCACAGAAACTGAAAATGTAGTTCTGAGGATGGAAATGTCTGGAGAAGACTCTGATCCCAGCAAGGGCAAGAGCAACTTGCAGACAGGGGGCTGTAATGGCCCCCAGGGGTCTGTGAGTCTCAGTTTCACTGTCTAGTACCCAGGGATATGGGTACTAGGAAGGTTCACTTAAGGTGTAAATGGGTCGTGAGCCCCCAAACCTTAGGTCTCAGTGTGGGAGTGAGTGAGAGGTTCCTCATGGCTGACCCCCTTCTGCCTTCGTGGCTTCAGCTGGCAACCTACTGGCAGAAGGGCTGACCCACCCAGCTGGAGGCTGTCTTTTTTGGGTTATAGTCTCTGTGATTCAGGTGTTAATGGGGACAGAGGCTGCAGGGGGAGGGGGAACTTCTGCTTTAAGGGGTGGGACAGATGTTTCTCCCTGGAATCCTTACACAATGGCCTTTGGAGCTACTGTTAAGAGAAGAATGGTTTGGGTATGTCCCTGGAGTTCCAGAGGTGGGGCTGGGGGTCAGGAGGTAATGGTTAGAAACCAGTGTCCCTCTTCCCCCAGCTTCCACACCCTTGTTTGGAGACACAGGTAGGGTGTTTCAGCAGGAAATGCCCAGAATAATTCACTTGATTTTACTTTAAGAAAACTACAAAACCCCCAGGGAAGCCCTGGGAGCCAGGCTTGGGTTTCTGGGTATGTTGGGGGCAGGGGAAGAGATGGGCAGCACAGGGCTGTGGGGGGCCAGTTGGAGGGGGTGGTGATGGTGGGCAGAATAGCAGGAGCTGCTCAGAGCTGGGTCTGGGACTTGGCAGAGCCTGGCAGACCCTTCACACACTTGATTCCCTCACCCAGCACTTGCGCAAGAGCAGTTGGTTCCCTTATTTTCTTCAACGCCCTCCTCCTGCAGGGGCTGAGCCCCAGGGCACACCAAATGCTGGGGCCTTCCTGGGGGCTCCCAGAGGTCGTAGAGCCCTCAGGCCCTTCACTCCAGTCCCTCGGGGCCTCCAGATGGCTGGTCTTACCCAGACCACTCCCCCTCCCTTTCCTCACAGTCCTGGGTGTAAACCCCACCTCTGCCATCCTCCCGTTCTGTCACCTTGAGAACATTCTGCTGGAAGTTCACATGAGCAGGGCAGGGAGTACAAACCCCAACCATCCTACTTACTTCTGGCTCTCCCAGCTGGAACATGGATAGATCTTAGGAGGTCACTGTTGCAAAGGAGGGGAACCTGAAAGCCAGGTAGTTCAGTCCCCTTGTGGTGCAGATGTAGAAACAGGCCCAGAGCAGGGTGCCTTGCTTATCCAAGGAGAGGGACAGGTGGGTCACAGACTCATCATCTGGGGGCCTTCACCAACCCCTGGCTCAGAGATAAGGAAACAGGCTCAGAAAGGAGTAAGGACTTAGCACCCATAGAGTTGGTGATAGTTGGGCTGAGGTCTCTGGGAGGCCTTCCTCGGGAGACTGGCGAGGGTGCTGCCTGCCCCACAGGTCTCAGTGCTGTGTGCAAAGTGGAGGCACTTGTGTCCAGGTGACAGACAGTGTCATGAGGGTCTTCACTACCTACCATATCTGCTCGAGGGTCTGAGGAAGTGGAGGGGATTCAGTGGTGACAGGCACACTGCCTCAACTCAGTCTCCTATTCGGTAACCAGGCCCAGGGCCGCACCAAATCCTATAGAGCCTGGGAAGAAGGGAAGCAGCAGGGTTGGGCAGGGTACCAAGGGTAAGCTTGGGCTTTTCTCCCCACAGACGGCCCTCAGCGCCTTTTTCCAGGAGACCAACATCCCCTACAGTCACCATCACCACCAGATGGTAAGTGTCCCCTGCGGTCTCAGAGGCGGATATGCAGGGGTCTCCTAGTTGAAGCTGCAGTGGATCTCTGCCTGTGTTCCCAGAACCTCAGACACTGGGATGAGCCACCAGCAGGTGTTGCGGGACAGCCCATCTCAGGACCCCGCCTTTCCTCTGTGACCCCCTGGCTGGTGGACTGTGTTGGGGGGCCAGGTGCATCCAAGTGGGGGGCACAAAATCTCCCAACAGAGGCTGGGCGTGTGTCTCCAGCTAGGAGCCAGTGGTAGATTGGGGGCCTTCCAGAAAGGGTGCTTACCCCTGCCTCTCTGCTCTCCTCCCCACAGATGTGCACTCCCGCCAACACCCCTGCAACGCCCCCAAACTTCCCTGATGCCCTCACCATGTTCTCCCGTCTCAAGGCCTCTGAGAGCTTCCACGGTGGCGGCAGCGGCAGCCCAATGGCCTCCTCGGCCACGTCACCCCCGCCGCACTTGCCCCACGCCGCCACCAGCAGCTTTGCAGCACCCAGCTGGCCAATGGTGGCTTCACCCCCAGGGGGGCCACAGCACCACCAGCCTCAGCAGCCGCCCCTGTGGACTCCGGCACCCCCTTCCCCAGTGTCAGACTGGCCACCCCTGGCCCCCCAACAGGCCACCTCAGAACCAAGGGCTCACCCTGCCATGGAGGCTGAAAGATAAGGGAGGCCCCTCCCCCCTCCCGGAGGCCTGGACCCCGTGGGGCGGGGGAGAAGACATCTCCACAGGCCCCCTTTTACCCTCCTCTGTCTGCACCCCCTTTCCCTGGAGCCCTGGAGGGGAGAGACTGGACCCCTGTGCCAGCACACAGGCTGCCCGCGAGTGCACGAAGTGCAGGTTCACGGCACCCAGCTTGCATGGATTTGGTTCAGAATCATCTGGGTGCTCGTGGACAGAACTTCAGAGACCAAGCAGCCTTCCCCAGAGGACTCACCCCATCTCAGGAGTCCGCGGAGATTTGCCTGGCTCCTGCTTGGAGCTCCTTGGGGCCAGCAGACCTAGATCCCCACCCTCGTGAATGCAGAGCCTTCTCCGCATGTGTGCGTGTGGCTGTGTCTGTATTTATACGTATGTCACTATTCAAGAAGCAACCTAGTTTATGGGGCAGCTGGACTTTGCATGTTAGAGTGAGCCCCTTGCCCGTTGTCCCCCTCCCCAGGGTCCTTTCCTCTCCCCACCCCCTCAGCAGCCAGCTTTGCTGTTCTTTGCAGAGAAAAGGATTGTGGGAAACTCCAGGATTCTTCCCACCCATCCCCCAGCGCGTGCCTGCTGGGACTGCCTGCATGCCTCCCCCAGGGGTACCCCATACCCATTTCCTTTCCCCCTTTTAACAAAGGAGAAGAAAGAGTTCCAAACCACCACCAGGCTCTGTGGTCTTGCCTTGTATCCTCAGCTTTGCTGCCAGCTGGCCCTGTGTGTGTGGAGGGTGGGGGTAGGGCACAGACTGAGCCCAGAACAGAGGGCTACCCTCCAGTCCTGCCTGGCCTCACACTACTCCTGTGTGTTGCTGTCGTTTCAACCACAACATGCTCTGGAATCTTCCTGCCTACCGAAGGTTTTTCCCATGAAGTTAGTTTCTGGCCTGTGTTCCCAGAATCCCAGCCTCTGTCTGCCCACCCATCCCCCTTCCTGGCTAGAGGGATCCTGGCTTCCAGGGCTGACAACTGCCTTCCGATCTGTCTGAGTTTCACATAAGGACCTTTCTTCCTGTCTCAGGGCCCCAGTAGTTGGCTTCTGGCTGGACCCTCAAGCCCAACCTCTAGCAAATGTGCTGGGTGGGGCAGGGCCCTCCCCTGGGGAGGCACAAGCCACAGTGCTTATAGTCTGCAGGCTTGAACGCAGAGCCAGTGGGGGCTAGTGACAGGGATATACCAGCCTGGGGCAGAGTCCACCCAGTGCTCAAGCCGTTGGTCACTAAGGAGACAGGCCACCCAGGGGCAATAGATAGTGGATCCAGGCTGCTTTCAAGCTGGGCTGGGGCAGGTACCCGATCTAGCCCCAAAGAAGAAGCCAGATGCCCCACTCTGCCCTAGGCTGCCCACGCTGGGGGAGAGGGTCCTTGTGGCCTCTGCAGTTCCTCACCAGCAGACCTCTTCCCTAATCGGGAAGAACTTGGTTAGCATCTCAGCCCTGTGTGGATTGTGCCTGGGTTGGAGAGCTTCTTCTATTTTGGAAGGTCTGCCTGACACGGCTTGGCACTCACCACCACCAACAGTCCTCTCTTGCTCCCAGGTATGGGGCTGAGCTTTCTGACAAGGATGCATCTGCCCTGCTGGAATCTGGACAGGCCTGTGATGAAGCCCACCTGGGATGATTGTTTACTCTCTGGTTGTCACTGGAGACCAGCCGCTGGGCCCCACTTGAGCTGTCGTTTGCATACCGGAAGTTTGTCCTCACATTGAAACCCTCTTTTCAACAGCCTCTTGGAGTCCAGAGAGGACACAGCTCTGCCTGGGGTACTTGGGGGTGCAGCTTCTCCATTCTTTTGGATGGAAGAAAATTCTCAGGAAACTGATACAGCCCCTCTTCAAGTGGTAGGAAAATGCTTTGCAGAGGCAAGCATTTCTGGGTTATCAGCTGTGTGGTGAACATGCTTGGGCTTTCCCAGAGGGCTGGTTGCTGGGGTGGCTGTGTGTTTTGGAACCATAGGAGACAATGAACTGTGTAGAGTTTTCCGTCCTGGAGACCATGGGGCTTGACCCCAGACAGGCCCCCTGTGGGTCTATACGGAAGCACACCCTCACTGTTCAAAATGGGGTCCTCAGACCAACAGCATCACTTGGGGCTTGTTAGACCTTGGGCCCCAGTTTGAGAAGTATCTCTATAGTGCTGGTCTGTTGGAGGTGAGGCCCCTTTCTGTTTTGGGGGGGCCGTGTGGGCTGGGCCTGGAGGTCCTAGAGGGTCACATTAGGCTGGAAGGGACTTGAGGTTCCTGTAGATGCCGTTTTCCCAACCTGAGCCCTGTGGACGTGGGTGCTGGATCACTGTCTACCATGGGCGTATCCTGTGCACTGTGGATGTTTGGCCAGCATCCCAACCCCCACCCACTAGGTGCCAGCAGCACCCTCATGCTGTGACAACCAAAAATGTCTGTGGATGTGGCAAACTATCCCCTGGGGGCTCTGTGAAAAGACAGCCCCAGATTCCTGGTCCTTCCATGTCAGAATCTCAGGAGAGGCCCTGACAGTATCGTTTTAAACACTCCCAGGATATTGCTGATTGACTTGTAAACAAACTAAAAACCATTCAATTGCATACTTCAAAAGGGTGGACTTTGTAGTGTGTTCATTATGTCAAAGCTGTTACTAAAGGTAAAATAGCTCCCAAGTGATTCCAACCCAGCACAAACTTAGGAAGCATAAGAGTCTCCTGGGTACTTAAGGCAACTGTTCTGGAGGAGGGCCCAGCAATCTGATTTTTAATAAGAGCCCCAGGCAAATTGGGACCCAAGGAAGGAGGAAGCAGAGGGTAGGGCTAGAGCTGGACCTGGGTACTCAGGTGCTTTCCAGCAGTGCAGAGACCTGTCAGGTGTGCCTGGGGCCCCCTGTCAGCATCTCAAGACCAGGGAGTGGCTGCAGAAGTGAGCCAGACAAACTCAAGGGGAAGCCAGAGCGGGGCCTACATAGCTGCCACATGCCCTCAAAATTGGAGTGTGACGCAGAGAACCTGGAACCCTCCTTAACTTCCCAAAGCCTGGAAGCTCGGGAGCAAAACTGAAGGCATCTGTCACCATCCACTACATATTCCCATATAAACTAGCTAAAAAGCACAGGTTCTGGTGTATAAATGGAAAATGTATTTACAGACAGGTTTATCTGAATCTCAGATGTCTCTCAGGCACCTCTTGGGAAAACCAGCCACTTCTGGGCTTGGATATCTCCTACATGATTGCCAGATTTGAGCTCCAAATGACTATTTCCAAAATTCCACTCTAAAAAACATTTGCACCCATGAAGTTGCTTAAAAGAGTGTCATTTGATCTCTGATTTCTCTGGAGGGGATGTGACAGTTTGTGGGAATGAGATCTGGCCTCTAGGGGTGACAAGAGGTAGCTGTGCCCTCTGGACTACTCTTAAAAGATGGGACGGGGTTATCTTAGGGGATTGCACACTCACAGTCCCCTGATGCAGGCAGTTTGGCTGTCATGGTGGTTTGGTGGTTTTTGTTTTGTTTTTGTCTGCCAACATTTTTAAATTAGAGTTTACATGAAAAGCCTCACTTCTGGCTTATCTTGGGAATTTGTAATACTGCCCAAGTTCCCATACAGGCCATAGCTGGCTGAAGCCAACCGTCGCAGTAGGGACACAGCTTGCCCTTGGCCGGCCAGCCCAGTCCACTGGCCACCAGCATGTGTGCATGTATCTGACTCTCATCTTGGAATCGGCTGGAATCTGAAAGGGATCTTGCTTTCCCCAGGGGGAGTGTCTGAAGTAGGTGCCCTGCTCCGTGGGGTAGAGCAGCACCTGGCAGACGAATGACGACTCTGAAATGGTTTTTGTGGGCAGGCAGGGCACCCTCTGCACAGCTTTAAAGAGAGAAGGGCTCGTGCTTGTTCCCCTGCAGTATTCCCTGGATGACTAGGGTGCTCCCAGGGCTGCTGAAGGTCTTCCTGGGGTTCTCTGAGAACACATGCACCACTGAAGAAAGCCACCCTGTTCCCGAGGCTGGCTCCCAAACCCGGAGGGCGGGGCCGCTGTGGCCCTGGAGGTCTCTGTGGGCTTTTCATAGCAGGACTCATCTGAGGACAGACCGGCTTTGACTCAGGTTGCTCCCCTGTGTTGGTGTCAGGGAGGCCACCTGGGTTGGCCAAAATGAGATATTTTGAGGCAAAGCTATTTCCAATTCCTGCATTTGAAAAGGTCAGGTTGCCTAGCCACAGCTTATGATTGGGCAATATATGTATTTCAAATAAGTCTTAAAGGAACACCCCTCTTTTAGGGGTGGGGATGCTGGGTCCTCCAGAGGAGCGCCCACCTACAGTGTGGCCAAGGCTTGTCAATGGCACAGCACAAGGTGCTGGGAGCCTGTTGGCAGATTTTGGCTCTGCTTCCTGGGGCCATTTCTCATCTAGGGAATAATGGCTGCAGATTCTGGTGGGGACATTCTCTACAGATCCTGGTGAAGCCATGAGCAAGAGGAGGAAGGAGAGAGAGGAGAACCCCTTCTCTGGCTGTTGGTGTGGGATTTTGGAGGGTCTCTGCATAGAGTCCCTAAATTCATACAAAGTCAGGGGTCAGGCTGAGATGATGGTGGCAGGGGAAACCAGCACTGATTTCAGTGCTCCTACACAGAAGGCCCTCCCTCCAGTGCCCCAGCTGCTGCCTTCTGGCAGCCTGCTTCTGGGTACTGGTGGCTCCTTTTTCCAACACAGCTCTACTTGTTTGGGACACACGCTTGCTGTTGCCGGCTGTTTATACCATAGGATTAATGGGTTCACGGTCACTGAAAGGGAGAACATGTTCAGTGGCCTTTGACTTCCATCGGTGGGTTGTGGGGCTGGATTTGGGGGTGCAGGGTGGTTACTGCCCAGCATCTCCATTTTAGCAGAACCTCGAGGCAGGACACAATGCTTGGCAAGAGACACCTCCTTCCCCTTCCTGCTGGCTCATTCATGCAGCCCCACGTACCCGGCCAGTCCACGTGACTTCCCCCTCATATGACAGATTTATCTTGGCCTTAAAACTGAAAGTTCTAGGGACCCCTCTCACTCCTAGGCAGACTAAGATAGTTGGTCACCCTACTGCCTGGCCCTGCCTCTGTCTCAGGTTCAGAACTGTGGTCCTCTTTGCAGAGGAGGAGGCTGGACCTACGTTCTCCCAACATCACCACTCTTCGGACTCCATCCCTGGCACTGTCTACTCCCCAAGCGCTTTCCCTGCTGGCATGGGTGGGCAACTGTCCTGAGGCAGCTGCCCTGGGAGTGGGCACAGCACCTCCCTTCCAGCTTTCAAGGCCTTCAGGTCCCATGCCCTTGGGTTGGGATTAGGAGGCAGAACCCTTGCCACTTGGGACCAGGCCAAAGGCCGGCTTCCCCCACCCCCATGGGGGACAGGACTGTCTTCCAGTATCGCTCCTGGCTGGCCGCAATTGGGACTATGGTTTCCTACCTTCCAGAGCACTGAGGGGTCTGTCAGAATGCAGATGGTTACAGGGTGATACCTGGGCCTCGCTCCACTCCCTCAGCTGCAGGTACCAAGTAGGCACTGATTCTGATGTAAACCTGAGAAATGACTGGGAAGGCAGCTTTGAGGGGCTGAGAGTCATGCCAGGTGCCTGTAGATGCCTTCATGTCAGGGTCTTAGGGGACAAGGCTGGCATGGGGTGCTTCCCTAGGAACCCTCAGCTTCCTGAGTGCCGAAACCTGGCCATGCTTCCCTTTTCTGCCTTGGGGAGGTGATGGAAGTCCAGGCCCTCATCCCTGTGCACAGTACCCAGGAAGTATGGCCTCATGGGTGGGAGCTGGAGAGCTGAGGCCTCACTGTGTGACCCTGGGTGAGTCACACCAATACCCCTGCCCCCACAGGCCGGGGTGGCTCAGGGCGCTTTGCCACAGTGGGAAGTTATGACAGAGGAGGGGAGGCTGGTTGCAATTCTCTGCTGAGGGTCAGCCTTGGTGGCTTTGGGCAGTGGCTCTGGGAAGCTGATGCTGGAATGGCGGCCCAGGGAGGGGTCAGCAGGTTCACCCACCCATGTGGGGCAGGCAAAGCCATCCCTCACAGAAGATACTGGGCCATTTACCCTTATCCGCAGTCAGAAGAGTGAAAGATGGAAAATTTTATTCTGGGGAGAAGTTGCCAAAAATACTCATCTGTGCTATGGGCATGGGGTCGGAGGCCGGGGCTGCAGTGCCAGTGCCCACAGCGGGCAGCGTAGACCCGGGTCAGGGAGAGCTTGTTCCCATTTGGACACAGTCCTTGGAGAGTTCTAGAAAAGAAAAGTCAGGGCCGGCAGTGGTTGCAGTAAGGAAGGGCTGGGGGACCGTTAGGAAAGGGGCAGGTACACAGTGTGCCCGGACTCCAGGGGCCATCAGACCTAGGGAACCCTGCATGCCAGCTCCCAGGCACAGCCCCGAGCCCCCGATCCTCCCCAGGGCAGACCCTCGGACCACTCACTCCAACTCACTCCACCATCCCAGGAGCCTCTAGTGGATGTTGGCAGTGGTGGGGGGTGGGTCATGCCCTAATATTGCACAGAGGGAAAATTTTTTAGTTTTTGTGAAATGTGACAGGAGTGTCAGAACTACACTAACGACAGAGAGCACAACTAGACAAGCTAGGGAGCGGAGAGGGAGTGAAACTGAGAGGGAGAAGGGCAGGACGGATAAGCCGTCCGAGGGGAAGAAACCAGGCCAGGCATGCACTATGCAGGCTGGCGTGTGTGAGCAATGCTCTGTGATCTAAGGGGGTCCGCTAAACTGCCAGTGTGGATGTCTTGACCTCCCAGTTTGCTCTGTTCCCACCAGGTGCACAGGGGTAGCATGGGAACAGACAGGTCACACAGGTGTGCGGGACCCCGGCCCTGGATGGGACACAGTGGTCCCAGAGTGTTCCAGGGCCACTGCCCAAGTTCCTCAGGGATTAGCCAGAGGTAAATATAGTCAACTTCTTTAAACATTCACTTCAGAACAGTAATTAATGGTGGAAATAATCAACACAAAATTTTTTAAAATGCACACAGTAAAATTGGTTCCCATGGGAAAATTGATCCTGGCGGATACAATGGCCCCCAAAGAAAATGGACAGTGGCGGAAGCTGGAGCTGGAACTGATACTGATGAAATCATTTCAGCAAAATAAAAAGGAAAGTGTTCATGAAATCACTTTAACTGTGTCATATTGAAAATTGGTCAAGGAATTAAATTGGCTTAGTGGAAAATTCAATCCAGAAAGCTGTGTTCTTCATGTAATGTGGGATAAGAAGCATCGTGCTGTGTGTATTTATAGGCAGTGAAAACAGCCACTGGGTCCCAGTGAGGCCTCCCTATGTCCAGGGCCCCTGAACCTTCCTCAGGCCAGGCTTCAGCCTGTCTCGGCAGGTGAGGGGGATGGAAGGGACAGTGCGGGTGCAGGGCACAGGGCTCACGGGCTGTCAGGCTCCTAGGTGGGCCGCGTGCTGGCTCGGGATTCGAAGCGCTGAGACCTTGGGTGCCTGGTAGACCCTGAGGCCTGCGAGGGGTCCTGCAGGGACGGCATCAGCGGTGGCAGCAGTGGCAGCGGGGGCGTAGATGGAGGCCGAGCTGGCAGCATGGGGTGGGGGCTGGAGGTGGCTGAGCGGATGATGGCACGGGGATGCAGGGCTGGGAGGGGCAGGAGAGACCCGTGATTTGTCTCAAGAACATTCTGGGCAGAGGCTGGTCTGACTAAGAGAGGAGAAGCCCCAAGATGGAAGTGCCTCACTGCCGCTCCGCCAAAGTGGAGCAGAGCACCTGGAGGAGTCCCAGCTCCTGCACTGCTCTGCCGAGGTCACTGTGCCTCCGCTCCCCCCGCCCCCACCCCTTTCAAATGGGCTGGCAGTACCCACCACTCCTGGCTGGGATGAGGCCTGGATGAGGTAAGGGGCAGAGTGCTTTGTACGTGAAAAGTGCCCACAAATGCCTGGTCCAGGGCGATGTGAATCAGGGGAGCTCAGTTCCCTCCAGGCTGGTTCACAGGCCCTAGCCAAGAGGCCAAGAGAATGAGTGGACTCCCTTATCCCACCTCTGCAGCTGACTGGACACTTGGGAAAAGACACCTGGGTGCCTTCCCAGCCTGGGTGTCCAGGTCAGGAAGCCTGGCTGAAGGGTGAAGCAGGAGCCCAGAACAGCTGGAGGCCCACCAGGGAGCTGGGTGCCGGTGGGGGCCTCTCTGGGGGGCCTTCTTAGGCACTGGCACAGAGCATGTGAAAGATGGGTGAGGTAGGGCAGGAGAACCCCAGTCTGTGGCTGGGGGACCCGACCAGAATTCCCCTTGGGCCAGGGAGTTGGAGGAGCAGGTACTCACAGGGGTAGGTAGCACCCAAGCGCTCATACAGGTTTCGAGCCGGGGGATGTGGAACCTTCACAGCTTGGGGGAAAAGAGGGGAAGAGATGGGAATGGGGGGAGGCTCTCTGGGAGCTCAGCCCCTCCCTGGAGCACTCGTCATCCTCAGCTCTGCAAAGGCCTGCTCACTCCGGTGGGACTGCCCTTTGCCCCCACCCCCCTTCACACACCCACCCCTCCCTATCTGTCTATGGAAAGACCATCTCTCCCCACCTTCTCGGGCTTCTTACAGTTAAGATACTAGGAAAAGGGGTTTGGAGGTGACTCGAGGCTGGGAGGAGACGGAAACAAGACACAGGGGAGGCGCTGGCAGGACTGGGTACCCGCTGGGTGTCCAGCCCCTCTTCAGGTCTCCCCACCCCGGGGGGCCAGACCACCGTGGCACTCTCACCCCCACCTCCCAGTCCATCTTTTGTGTGTGTGCACTTTTTAGTAAAACTCACATAATATATAATTAAGCATTTAACGAACAATTCAGTGGTGTTAAGTTCATTCACAAGGTTGTGCAGCCATCATCTCCATCTAGTTCCAGAACATTCTCATTATCCCAAAAGGAGAACTGGTGCCCATGAGGCAGTCACTCCCCATTCTCCCCTCCCTCCTAGCCTCTAGCAACTGCTAAGCTGCGTCTGTTGATGTGATTTGCCTGTGCTAGACATTTCATAGAAGGGGAGCCATACAATATGTGGTCTTTTGGGTTTGGCTCCATCTTCCACTTTCAACCCAAGGTGTCCTTTTCTCCCTGTCCAGCCAAGAACCACCATGACTGGCCATCCAGAGTCCAGGCGAAAGGCTGCTGCAGGAGAAGACATAGGATCATGGGGTAAAAGAGGCCACAAGAGCAAAGATGAGGGAGGAGGAGGAGGGAGGAAGGCCTGGAGGAGAGGACCATGCCTGGCGCCTGGCAAGAGTTATGGGGGTGCCACGCTCCTTCTTATGCAGGATACCAAGTGTTCCCTCTGCCTGAACAACTGTGTCCGTCTCTGGCTGTCTCCTGACAATTCTTGCCTCAAATGTCCCTTCATTTGAAGGGACTCAGAGAGTCCTTTAGACCGCCCACTCAGCAAGGACTGCCCCCCCGGCCGTCCTCCCTCCATTTCTGTGTCTCATCTGACGCACTCACTGACTTACTCGTTCACATGACTCCATCTGTCACAGGGTGAAAACCCTAAGGGAGCAGCACCTTCATTTTGATTGCACTGGGTTTCCCCAGCGGCTTCTAAAACACACCTGGCACCGACAAGGGCTCAGGAGACCAGGGTGCAGCAGCAGGAGGCGCCACACAGGTCTCCCTTTAAGAAAGAACATGGTGCTCAGCTGTAGGAAGTGCAGGAAACCAACAGCCTCCACCTGTTAGCACCTTGGGGCCTGTTAACATCTTGGGGTCTGGTAGTGCTCTTGGGGTTTGCTGGACCTTCAGGGTCTGGTAGCACTTCCAGTCAATAATGGGAACACAGGGCCTGGCCATCTGCTGGGCTCTCTTTGCTCGGAAGCTCCCCATTGGTCCGGCCTGGACCTTATCAGGTCTGTGCACTGTCTGAGGGTCTCTTCCTGCTCCCTCCCTCTCCTTCCTCCTCTTTGTTAATGCTCTTCCGTTCAAAATCTCTTGTATCCCTAACTCTGTCGTAGGGTCTACAACCTCAAGGACCCAACTGGCACCACCTTAATTCCCCATGAGCCTCTGGGAACTGTATAGCTTAGGTCATGTCCCTCAGGCCTGAGTTAAGAACCACCACCTATGTGCTTTATGGGTTCTGCTCAAGAGCAAATGCCTGGCTGAGGGGTGCTCCTTGGCCCCCATTGTGATCCCCAGTTGGCACCTGTATCCCTCCACGAGTCAGAAGTGGAACCTGCCAACCAGCCGACCAGTGAGATTATCGACCTGCTTCCTTTCAAGGAAAGGGATGTGTGCCTAGGATACAGATCCCAAATGGTGACACAGGGAGGCCCAGGAGCCCAGCTGCTGACCCAGTGCTCTCCCTGATGTTTCCTACAACCTTGGATTCTATATGTCCAAACACAAACTCACCACACCACCTGACCCCAATGCCTGCTCCTCCTAGGCTCGCCTCTGCGTAAGCCAGGAGACTCCCAGCAGGAGGGAACACCTGAGCCCTGGCAAATAGGAAATGTTCTCCAGGGGTTCCAGGAGGAGCACACAGTATGGGCCGAGGCCCGAAGGTGAGAAGCAGTGGGGCTCGTTGAGAGCGAGCGAGTGAGCAGTTCCATGAGGTTGAATGAAGGGGACAGACGAGGCCAGGGGCCACGGGTCAGGTCAGCCCAGGAGTCTGTACTCTGAGGGCAGTGCCCTCCTAGATGTCCATGTCCTAATCTCCGGAACTTGTGAGCTCATCACCTTACACAGCACAGGGGACTTTACAGATGTGATTCAGTCAAGGACTTTTGAGACAAGGAGATGGTCCTGGATTATCCAGGTGGCCCTAATGTAACCACAGGGTCCTTGTAAAGGAGGTTGGGGTGAGAGCGGGAGACGTAAGCACAGACGTTGAAATCAGAGTAATGCCTCTGAAAGGCGGAACCAGCGAGGCACCAGACTTTCCACCAGAGCCACGGAAGGAACCAGCCCCGGGCTAACTCTGACAGCTCAATATTAGCCCAGAAGACTCATTTCAGATTTGTGATCTCAAGAACTAAGACAAAATAACGTTGTTGTTTTGAGCCATTCAATGTGTGGTAATTTGTTACAGTAGCCTTTCTGAACTGGGAAGGGGCCTGGCCAGGGGTGTGCTTTAGGCAGTTCACCCAGAGCTGGTGAGGAAGGCGTAGGCTGGAGACAAGTCTACTCCCTCGTGTCCACCTTCTGCCACCACCTCCTCCTGGAGTCCTGCCCGTGCTCAGCCTGCCATGGAGATTCTCTGAAAGTCCAGCCTGCTGACTACCAGCCTCAGCATGCCCCCTTGTCCTTCTACTAGGGGCATCACTCACTGGGGATCAGGTGTCCCTCTGCCTGGAGATTCTGACCACGGTACAGGCATCTGGAGACCACAGGCTGGCTGGACACCTCTCAATGACCCCATGGGACTGGCAAAGGACTGAATGCACAGCAGGATTCGGTGGACACTGGGATGAACAGATGGATGCATCTGGGACCAGTCTGAACCTGGGTGGGGCTCTCACTAGCTAGTTTAAGTTTAGATGATGATTGTTTGGATTGGAATGTTCTTTGGAGTAAATAAATGAGTTCTAAGAGCACACTAGTCAAAAGATCTGTCCAGGTTGGCTTCTAATTGATATTTAAGGCTAAATAGATTTTGTTGCCTCCCCCACCCCCCAGCAGAACAGAGTAGTTGAGGTGTCATGATTCAGTCCTGCTCTGCAGGTCATGGGCCTTGAGAATGAATGAGCCATGGGGAGAAATGTCCTTTCCTCTAGAGGGAGAGGGACACTGTCCAGTGAAGAAGTGGAGATATGGCCCAGGTGTGTAACATCGTCCTGGCCCCTGCACCAAGGGTGCCCTTACCTGCTGATTTATGCAATGCCTCCCTCAGTTGTTGGGCTCTGGCAAGATGTCAGATTCATTGCTTCAGATTTTCCTAAATTCTCCCAAAAAGCAGCATCTGGCTCCAGTACCATAACTCTTGCTAAGTTGCCCCAGGCCTGGCACTACCAGCAGCCAGCCTTGGTTCACAGCTTGGCCTCTCCTGGTCACCTCCAAGCCCAGCACAAGTAGCAGCCATCTGCAGGTCACTTTGTAGTTAATGCTCTGTGACCCCCCAGCAGAACATAGGTGGCAGCTGATTTGGGATGTGCCAACCCAACAGCAGTAAGGCTCAGCTATAAGCCTTGACTGCAACCCAACAGCAGTCAAAGCCGCACAGCCCACACAGTGGACTCACCCTGAGGACCCAACTTGGGTGATAGCAGAGTCTGTGCCACTGGACCCCTCAGGACACCTACTACTTTAAGCCACTCCACCAGGCCTGGGAAACATAGTAGCTCTACCTAATACATAAAAACAAACACAGGGAGGCTGCCAAAATGAGGAGACAAAGAAACATGACCCTAGTGAAAGAACAGAACAAAACTCTAAAAAAAGAACTAAATGAAACAAGAAAAGCAATCTGTCAGATGCAGAGTTCAAAAGTGGTTACAAGGATGCTCAAGGAACTTAGTGAGGACCTCAGCAGCATAAAAAAGACCCAGTCAGAAGCGAAGGATACACTAACTGAAATAAAGAACAATTTACAGGATATCAACAGTAGAGTAGATGAAGCTGAAAATCAAATCAGAGATTTGGGACACAAAGAAGCAAAAAACAAGCAATCAGAACAGCAAGAAGAAAAAAAAATCCAAAAAAATAAAGGATAGTGTAAGGAGCCTCTGGGACAATTTCAAGTGTTTCAACATTCACATCATAGGGGTGCCAGAAGGAAAAGAGAGAAAGAATTTAGAAACCTATTTGAAGAAATAATGAAAGAAAACTTCCCTAATTTGGTGAAGGAAATAGACATAATTCCAGGAAACACAGAGAGTTCCACTCCAATACACATCGTAATTAAAATACCAAAGGTTAAAGACAAAGAGAATCTTAAAAGCAGCAAGAGAAAAGTAGCTACTTACCTAGAGGGGAGTCCCCATAAGATTGTCAGCTGATTTCTCAAAAGAAACTTTGCAGGCCAAAAGAGATTGGCAAGAAATATTCAAAGTGGTGAAAAGCAGGGACCTACACTCAAGATTATTCAATGCAGCAAGCTATCATTTAGAATCAAAGAACAGATAAAGAGCTTCCCTCACCAGGAAAAGCTAAAGGATTTCATCAGCACAAAACTAGTATATGAAATGTTAAAGGGTCTTCTTTAAGGAGAAGAAGAAGAAGAATACTATGAACAATAAAATGGCAATAAATACATATCTATCAATAATTAAATCTAAAAACCAAAATAAATAAATAAGCAGAACAGAAACAGAATCATAGATACTGAGAATGTTTTGATTGTTTCTAGAAGGGAGAGGGGCCGGGGAGGATGGGGGAAAAGGTGCAAGGATTAAAAAGTACACATTGGTAGTTACAGAATAGCCATGGGAGGTAAAGTACAGCACAGGGAATTAAGTAGCCAAAGAACATATATGCATGACCCATGGACAAGGACAATGCTGTAGGGATTGCTGAGGGAGTGGAGGGGGAGGCTGGGTGGAGAGAGTCAAAGGGGGAAAAATTGGGACAAATGTAATTGCATAAACAAAATGTGATTATAAAAAAAGAAGTCAGACATTAAATGTTAGCCATGCCATTGTTATCCTGCCTGGTGATTGATCCCTGAAGCCCAGCCTGAGTCCCCTCCCAACAGCATCCACTGCCGGGCACCCAGAAAGAAGTATTAACACTGCAGGCCACAGCCTTGCCCCGGAGGGCATGTGGGGTTGAAGATGGTTGTCCCACCCTCCTGGACCAGGGGGAGGTCTATACTGGGTTGAAGGATGGCCCCCAAAAAGATGTCCCCTGGAACCTGTGAATGTAATCTGTTTTGGAGAAAAAAATCTTTGTGGATGTAATTAAGCAAAGGATCTTGAGGTGAGAGCGTACTGGGTTAATTTGGGCCTTAAGTCCAATGACATGTATCCTTACAAGAGACAGAGAGGAGAATACACAGTGAGCAGGCTACGCAGAGATGAAGGCAGGGACTGGAGTGATGCAGTCACCAGCCTAGGAAGGTGCGCCTTTCAGTCTTGCTGGCCCAGTGCTGGAGCTGAATGGTGGGGTCCCCGGTAGAAGCCATCCGGAGCCAGGGCCTCAACACTGCAGCAACCAGAGCACTGATTCCACGTGTGTGACAGACTCTCCTCCGGCCCAACCCTAGCCTGCCCTTGACATTAGGACACAGCCTCCATGGTCTGTCCAAGTGCCCTCTTCCTCACGCCCAACCCCACCCCAATCTCTGCACCTCAGGTGGACTCACCTTTATGAGTGCCTGACTTTGCCTGGCTCACATCCACTCCAGAGACTTTGCGCCTGCTATTCCTTCCACCTGGACTGCTCTCCTCCCACCTGAGCCCTCCATCTAGAGAAAACTTGGTCCCTTTTCAGAGGCCTCAGGGCAGTACCCAGTCCCTCTCCTTGGGCCAGCATGTTTTGTCACAACTCTCCCATCACCAGCCCAGCATCCCACCTTTGGGGGGACCGCCAGCACCCCTTCCTAGGCCCACATGCTTTGTCACAAAAACAGTCCTAGTACCAGGGCCCTCCCTTCAGGTCAGCTGTTCAGCCTCACCTTCAGTTATCTGCTTAGTCTGCTTCTTCTACTCATATGGAGACTCCAGAGCATAACCACTGTTTTTGCTCCCCTTTGTCTCCCCGGCACTGAGTCTGCTGTATGCAGTGTCTGGCATACAGTAGAACCTTGTTTTTGCAAGTGGCTGTGTGAGGACCCCCCAGTCAGGGATGGTGCCAGCTCTGGGCCCTGCTTGCCAGGGCCTCTGTTCATGCTGGCCAGCAAAGCCAGGACACTAGACAGGAGTGCCCAGGAAAGCCTGACGCCTCTCACCAGCCGACTCCTTCTCCACACTGGCCAGTGGTCGTGCCCCATCCTGGGTGTTCATTCGGCCCTTGTACAGGATCCCGTCCACTCCCAGGATGTCCACCTCGGCCTGTTGGATGGCCCAAGTAAGGGAGTGACCTTGAGCCCGTGTAGTATACACACAGGCCCAGCAGAAAGAGCATGGCCCCCTGCCCCGGGTCACCCACCATCCAGGCTGTGGCCTGACTCACAGTATCATAGTCCAGCAACTCAGGGTCCCCATAGGGGTAGAGTGTTGACAAATTATATGACTTGAGCTTGTGGTTGCCGTCATTCCCAGGGCCATCACTCCAGTCCTCCTTGTCTCCGAGGTCCTGAAGCTGCTTCAGCCGCTGCTGTTCCCTTGGACAGGGCAGGAGGGTCATCAGCCACGTGAAGAAACCTCTACCCCCAAGGAGCCTAAGGCTAGGCCCTAAGGACCTGGCCAGTAACAAGGGATGACTGGAATTTCTTCCAGCTGATTTTGGTGGTATAGCCGAACAGGCCTGGGGCCTGGTGGGTGGACAGAAGCAGACAGAGTGGGGCCAGAGAAAAAATCAAGGCCTACATTTCCCCAGACCCTAGCCACCCCCGGAGGCCTGATCTGACCTGCCAAACATATGCTCTTAGCCTCTTGATCTCCAGAAAGAATCAGGCAAGGCATATAAGGGCACGGGGCACAGGCTCCCATGTCCCTCCCCTTGTGTGGCTGTGGTTACTATTATTCCCCCACCTGGGGGTGGGGAGCACCTTGACGCCATGGGATGTCCAGAGGGTGAGGGATGGGGCTGGGACCCAGGGAGCCAGCTGGGTCTGGTGGAAATCCGCAGATTCAGGTGCCAGCTCTGCCATTTACTACCTGTGACCTTAGGCAGGTTGCTTAAGTTCTCTGAGCCTCAATTTCTTCAACTGTGAAATGGGATGATAACAGAATATTCCTCAAAGGGCAAAGTGTAAGGATTTAATGAGGTCAAGTATGTCAAAGCACTTAGCACAGTGTCTGCCCGGCCACAGCAAGTCTCACCGAATTTACTTACGTCCTCCAGCAAGAAGCAGGCACATTACCCCCTAGCTCATAGGGGGTTGTGAGATTTAAATAAGAAACCCTTCCCTGATGATTCTTGGCTCATAATAGATGCCCAATAAATATGTCCATTCCTTTCTTCTCACATGCCTGTCTCCTGCCCTAGCTATCTCCCCAAACATACTCCTTACAGATGGCTGGCAGTGCCCTGGGATAGTCTTTGGATCCTGGGACTAGCGTTTAGGTCTCTGCAGGGCTCCTGGGTCCTGAGGGTCCTCTGTGGGGCAGAACTCCAGTCTGCTCACCTCATCTGTTGCCGCTGGAGGTACTCGTAGCTGTTGGCACTAGCTGGACGAAGCCGAGACAGCAGGTGGGCTTTGCGGATGGTGATGAGGTGTCTGTTGAACAAGAGCTCAGTAGTAGGCATACGTGGCCAGCAGAGGGCACAGAGCTCCCACTTTCTCCAGGAACCCACCCTCAAATTTAGCCTAAGGCTGCCCTACAAGGGCTCTGGCGAACCCGGATAATCTTTGTAAGTCACTAAAAAAAGTTCCAATTATCATTTAAAAAATGTTACAGTTATAATAAAAGTAAACATCAGGCACAGACTGGAGGTGGTCAGAGCTTGGGAGCAAGGGGAATGGCTAACAGGTAAGGGATTTCCTTCTGGACTGATGGAAATGTTCTGGAACTGGAGGTGGTACCTGCATAATATTGTCAATGTCCAAAATGCCACTGAAATGTTCTCCATAAAGTGATTAACTTATGTTATGTGTATTTTACCACAATAAAAATAAAAAAACAGTAGCCTTCTCGGGAGCTGGACCTGTTCTACATCTTGATCTGCATGGGGGATATGAGGATGTGTACACATGTAAAACTCCCCAAGCCCTGGCTGGTGTGGCTCAGTTGGTTGGAGCAATGTCCTGTAAACTGAAAGGTGGCGTGTTCAATTCCCAGTTAGGGCACATACCTAGTTTTCAGGTTTGGTCCCCATTTGGGGTGCGTGCAAGAGGCATCGATGTTTCTCTTCCTCCCTTGCCCTCTCTGTGAAATTGATAAGCATGTCCTTGGGTGAGGATAAAAGAACTTATCAAGCTGAACAGTAAATATTTACATACTTTATTGTATGTATGTAAGCCACAATAAAATTTAAAGTAATACACATTGCCTGAACTTTAGAAAGCATATAAGAGCACAAATAAGCAAAAAAGTACTGTAACCATGTGACACATACTTTGATATGTGTCCTACCAGTATTTTTTCGATGTTTATATATTTTTTTAACAAAAATGGGATCATAAGACACCTACTACTTGATTTTCTCATTTAAGTTATTGCAAAACCTTTCCCAGGTCATTCATATTCTTCCACAACCGTGCTAGCCAATATGGCAGCCGCTGGCCACATAGCTATTTAAATTAACTAAATTTAAATAAGTTTCAAATTCAGTTCCTCAATTGTATTAGCCATGTTTCAGGTGCTCAACAAGCTGCATGTGGCCAGGGGCTACTGCACTGGACATCACAGTTGGAGATCATTTCCGCATCTCAGAAGTTCCTGTGATGTGGTTTCTTTTACAATACGATCTGTATTGGCTGACATGAATTTACTGTAACTCATTTACCACTCAGCTTGTTTCCTTTTTCTTTTCTTTCTTTCTTTTTTTTTTTTTTTACTATTATAAGGAATACTGCATCTGTAGGTATCTGTTGTCTGAAAGAAAGGCTCTGAATATAGTTCCAAAGACCCTCCATGAATGTGCACTGGCATGGGGGTATTGCTGAGCTTCACTGGTCACCAGGGCCAGATTAGCACCCCAGAGGCCGGGGACATGGCAAGATCCTAGCTCTTAAACCAGAATATTGTCAGTCGGATCTTCAAAAAGTTAATCATAAAGTTACCATATGATCAAGCACTTCCACTCTCAGGTTTACATCCAGAAGAATTGGAAACAGGTGTTCAAACAAATATATTACATGCATGTTCACAATAGCACTATGTATTAAGGCTAAAAGGTAGAAGCAACCCAAATGCCCATCAATGTATAAATTGACCAACAATAAGTGTGGCCTATCCATACAATGGGACATTATTCAGCCACAAAAAAGAGCGAAGTACTGGCACACACTACAACCTGGATGAACCTGAAAAACACTATGTTCTGTGGAAGAAGCCAAGTGCAAGAGACAATAGACTGGATGATTCCATTTCTATGAAATGTCCAGCATAGACAAATTTATAGACAGAAGTAGATTCGAGGTTGTCAGGGGCTGAGGGGAGCAGGCAGTAGAAGCCATTGCTTAGTAAGTCAGGGGATTCCAGATGATAAAAGTGTTTTGGAATTAAAGGTGTTGGTTGCACATTATGGTAAATGAACTAAATGCCCCTGAATCATTCACTTTAAATGGTTACTCTTATGTGAATTTCACATCATTAAATAAAGTATTAGACCATAAAAATGCATGCGAGGAATTCCCACAAAGTTCTTTTTTTTTTAAGATTTTATCTATTTATTTTTAGAGAGGGAATGGAGGGAGAAAGAGAGAGAGAGAGAAACATCAATGTGCGGTTGCTGGGGGTCATGGCCTGCAACCCAGGCATGTACCCTGGCTGGGAATCGAACCTGTGACACTTTGGTTCGCAGCCCGCACTCAATCCACTGAGCTATGCCAGCCAGGGTGCAAATTCCCACAAAGTTCTGCTTTCCCCTATAGTTTTCTTCTATTATTATTATTGTTGTTATTATTATTTATTATTTTAAATCCTCACCCAAGAATATATGTATTGATTTGAGAGAAAAGGAAAGAGGGAGAGAGAAAGACCCCATACCTTCTGCACACGCCTTGAGGAGGGACCAAACCTGCGACCTTTCAGTGTACAGGATGACGCTCCAACCAACAGAGCTACCCAGCTAGGTCACCACTATTTTTCTTTTGGAGCTGACCCAGTCCCTAGGACAGTGGGCACCCTGACAGTGCAGGTGAAGAAAGGAGGGGATGGTGCTGGCTCAATCAGGGACAGGGAGCGAACGAAATGATGTCTACAAGACAAGTAAGTGGATGTGCCTATAAATGCTCCCAGAACAACGCAGCCACAGGGGGCGGTGGGGGTGGGTGGGGGTGTCCGTCCAAAAGAAGGCGCGGGCGCCCCCTGGCGGCAGTACTCACGGTCCAGTCATCATCTCCACAGGCCGGTCGCAGGAAATGCATTTCACCCGCTCAAACAGTTTCCTGGAAGACAGCCATTCCTCAGCTGTGGCACCCCAGTCAGGCCCTGCGAGGCTGCCCCATCCCCAGGCAGTGCTTGGGGGAGGATGCAGGTCTGTCTGTGCATCAGGGCCAGGACTTCCACCCACATCCTACACCCACTGGCCTGGCCCAGCTCCGCTCAGTTCTGCTGGCCTCTGCTGACCCCCATTTGCGGCCGCCTGGGATAGAGGTGAGAAAATAAAAGTGTAGTGTATCTCCCTGCCTTAAACATGATTAATGGAGGTCTTTAAAAGCAGGGACCTCCTGGAAAGCTAACCTTCACAGTAGACACAGTAGCCTTCAGAGAGGCGTGAGGGGTGATCCGGGGACAGGAGCTCCCAGGACATTGAATCCCTCTGTCTGGGGGTGCTGTGTGGATGGGGGCAGAGGACCTGGCTGTGTTCCCAGATCCATCCAGGCTCCCACTTGCATGGCTCCTTCCCTCTCTGAACCTCCTCATTTGTGGTAAAAGAGCTTAGGAGCAGATGTGCTCCTGGAGCCCCTCCGCCAATCAAGACCAGAGCTGCCCAGGTTTGAGTGCCCGGCACTCTCAACCTCACCCCAACCCTTTCCACACCCAGCTGGGAAGCCCATCCCGCCTCCCCACATCCATAGGTCTGGAATTCTTGCTCCCAGAATGCTCTGGGATCCCAACCAACAGAGCTACCCAGCTAGGTCACTTGTTTCCTCCCTGGAGGATCCCCTAGTCTCCACCAGCTCCACCTCTACCCAGCAGGGGCTCACTTCCTAAAGCCAGCGGCGCTGTCTGGATCAAATCGGAGGCCTTCGATTAGCAGCTTCTTGACTAATTGCTCGACCTCATTTATGTCTTTCTTTAGATCCTCCAAATCCCTGTGGACCAGCTGCAATAGACAAAGGGAAGAAAAGAATGTTTAGTCAACTAATTCACGTCCTGCCACCCTCCAGAAAAGGATTTGCAGTAGCCCGCAAAGTTACAGAGGGTGTAACAGGATTAAACAAAGTGAGCTGGTTAAGGAAAGGGAACTGACAAACTTGGGTTATGGTTTGTACCCCTAACGGCACGCTAATGCTAGAGGGGAGCTGCCACGTGACCTTACCAGCACACAAGGCAAAGAAACAGCATCAGTTACTGCCTCCAAGTGATAAAGCCAAACCTATGCTCAACCACAGGTCTGCAGGCCCAAGAAACATTCCTCCCATGGTCCCCAGACACCCTGTATTCACACATTCAACACATATTTACTGAGTACAGCATATACATTCAATGGTGTTTAATATATTCACAGAATTGTGTGACCATCAAATCACTACAATTGATCTTGTAACATTCTCATCATTCCCAAAAGAAGCCTCTTCTCCATTAGCAGTCACCCCTCATTTCCTCCTAGGCCCTCAGAGGCAGGCAACCACTACGACTCTATTGTACTTTGTAGATTTGCTTATTCTGAACATTGCATCCAAATGGAATCAAACAATCTGTGGCATTTTTTGTCAGACTTCTTTCACTGAGTATAATGTTTTCAAGGTTTATCCAGGTTATAATATGTATTAATGCTTCATTCTTTTTTATGGGATGAATAATATTTGATTTTATTGCTAGACTACATTTTGTTTATCCATTCATCCACTGATGGACATTTGAGTTGTTTCCACTTTTTAGCTCTTATGAATAATGCTGTGATGAACATCCTTATCCAAGTTTTTACATGGACATAAGTTTTCTCTTGGGTATATATATCTAGGAGTGAAATGCTGAGTGGTATGGTAATTCCATGTCTAACTTTTTGAAAAACTGCCAGACTCTTTTGTAAAGTGGGACTTCTGAATTTTTTTTTGATAGTTTATTTTTTTAAAGATTTTATTTATTTATTTTTAGAGAGGGAAGGGAGGGAGACAGAGAGAGAGAGAGAGAAACATCAATGTGCGGTTGCTGGAGGTTATTACCTGCAACCCAGGCATGTACCCTGGCTGGGAATCGAACCTGCAACACTTTGGTTCGCAGCCCACGCTCAATCCACTGAGCTACACCAGCCAGGGCGACTTCTGAATTTTTAAGGTGTTCCTTCCAGTGCCCAGATTTTGGTCTCTAAACACCATTCCCCACTGAAAGGAACCAGGACTCCACAGAGATATGGCTGATTCAGATCTGAGGAATAGAATGTTGACAATAAGCCTGGAACAGCTTGTCATTTAGGAAATAAGACAGATATCCCATGACAGAGGGTCCAGCGGAAGGGCTCAGAAGCCAGCTCACAGGCCAAAGATGAGATCATATGAGTGACAAAATAAATAGTAACTTAATTAATTGAATGAATTGAGTATTGAATATATAAAAACCCATGATTCATGGCGACACTCACAAAGAAGAAATAAAAAATAAAAACAGAAACCCTCATTTGCCACCATGTTTTGGAATGTGGCTATTTCCATCAATATGTTACCATGAAAACTGGTCATAAAGGAAATAATTCATCATTGTTTCTTTCTTTCCTTGAAAGGACCATATTTCAGGGTCATCAGCTCAAACTGATGAAGGAGAGCTCTTCACAGATTTCCAGCTGATATGTGTAAAAGCTCCATCTGTCATGCTCCCTTGGTCACCCATTTTGAGGGGAGTCAGCTGCAGTGTTGTGAGGCTCCCCAAGTGGCCTTAAGGAGTTCATGGGATGAGGGATGAGGAGCCTTGCCCACAGCCACAGAAGGGTGCCACCTTAGAGGTGGTTTCTCCAGCCCCAGTCACCTTCAGAGAACTGCAGCCCCAGATGACATCTTGACTGCAACCTCATGGGAGACCCGGAGCCACCCAGCTAAGCTGCTCCCAAATTCTTGACCTTCAGAAACGAAATGCTTGTTGCCTTAAGCTGCTAATCCAGAGTAATTTGTCATGCAGCAAGTAATACCTAATACAGGGAAACTCACCTTGGTGCCCAGGTCCTTGCTGAGCTGCTCCACAACCTTCTTCCAGTCATCCTCATGGGACACGACCCTGAATAGCATGCTCTGCATCATCTCGTTCATCTCCACTGCCATCGCCTCCAGGTCAACCCGGCTTGCCTTGCCTGCCAGAGTGCTCCTGTCAGCTTTCTAGAGAGAGAAGGGACTCAGAGAAGCAGAGCTGCTGGGGTGGGAGCAAGGGGAAGCTGGGGGAGATCAGACCACTATGGTTAGTTTTTTCAAGTTGGGACCCTGGACTTGTAGCCTTGGCTTAAATTCTGTCCTGGAGCTTATGTTGACTCAAAAACAACGGTCACATCTGAGGCACGGTTTTCCTATGACAGAGAAGTTGGTGCATGATTTTTAAGTTCACGAAACACACTGTCACTAACCCTGAGTCACTGAAACTAGGAATTGACAGGACAACTTGTGAGAAGCTTCCGCAGCCTTTCCATATGAATAAGACTCTGAAGTATCACTGCCAGGATTTGTCTTGGCTGATTGATTCCATTCCCTGGGTGGCAGAGCTGGGGCTTAGGACCGGGGAGCAGGAGGCAGAAAGGAATCTGCTTACTCACCTCTTTCAACTCCTGCTCCATCACGTTTTTGTCTGCCTTGCGCATTTCTAGGTCTTTTATTTGAGCTCGGAGAATCTAAGAACAGAAGCAAAGGGCATGTCAGCCAACCTTGGAAGCCCTGTGGATAATGCCCGCCTCTCAACTCCACCCTTGCTGTGGGACACTGAGGCCAGGTGGACAGCAGGTAGGGTGGGCACATGGGAAGGCCTGGGCTCCTGGACTCCTGGTGCCCAGGTTTGAAGGGAAGAAATGTGGGACTTGGAAAAAGCTGTCATCTGGGAGATGGGCATGGCAACTTCACTGCACAGGGAGGCAGACCTGAGGAAGGAAAGAATAAGCCGAAGCTGATGCTTCAGCTCCCTAGATGTTTTGGGCAAGCTCATCTCTTCTGACCTGTAGTGAGGTCCCAGCAAGAATCCCAGTCTATTCACCAGCCAAGCACTTACACCTGGCACACGCTGTGCCCCGCTGTCGGGGGACACACTCCCATCCCCGTGACTCCACAAAGAACCAATTCCCTCCATCAACTCTGCCCTCTCCCCACTTACTGGGGCCTCACAGTGGGTTAGGAAGAGCCTCACAGCCACTGGGCTGTGTCCCCAGAGGTCACTTTTCCTCCAAATCGGAAAACAGGCTTCTACTTCTCCCTTCATATCTGGCCTTCCTCTCACCCTCAGCAGAACCTCTCACTTTTAGCTGCCATCTGACCTCCCAGAATCAAGACTACATTTCACAGCCTCCCTTACAGCTTGGTGTGACCCTTGGGGTAAATATGAAAGTGGGCAGGTGTCCTCCTCACTGCTGGCTTGAGTGTGGAGTTAATGCACAGAGCACCAGCAGCCATCTTGGAGCCTGAGGTGACCTTGTGAATGGAAATCACACACCATGGAATTCAAGACCCGCCATAGATTATCATCTCTGACTTTCTTGTTTTTCTGAGGTACCTTGTTTCAGTCAGTTATTTGGGGAGGTTAGGTTATTGAAAGTTGAACCTAATTCTAATTAATGCAAAGCTCCATCACATCCTCTTGCAAAGGGAAAGTAATGTTTTCCATCGAGTCAAAAAGAAAGAGTTCTGTTCTCATTTATTTTCCTGCTGTGTTTTTAGTGGGAAACACTCTAAGAGTGCACTCTAAGGTAACAGATATGGCCCTGGCTGGGTAGCTCAGTTGGTTAGAGTGTTGTCCTGATATGTCAAGGTTGTGGGTTCGATCCCCAGTGAATGCATTAAAAAGTGGGACAACAAATTAATGTTTTTCTCTTTTTCCCTTCTTCTCTTTCTCTAAAAATCAATAAACAAACATTTAATAAGGTGATGGACATGTTTCCATCTTGATTGGGTAGTGGGGACATGGATATGTAAATAGGCAAAAATTTATCCACCTCTTATACTTAAAACTTGGGCATTTTACTGTGCATAAAGTATACTTTGATCAAAGACACAAATACTACTGCTTACTCTCAAACACAGAAGAGCCTCGATGGTGTCTGTCCTGTTGGCTGCTGCATTGCCAGGCCCTAGAAGGGTGTCGGTGCAGAGTGAAGGCTCAGGAACATTGGCGGAGTGACTGGATGAATGAGTAAGAGGATTTTGTGCATCACCCACTTTGTTCATAACATTTTCTCACACACATCCAGGTAAAACAATAACAGCTACTCCAGAAATGAGGGCGTCTGCATACCCTCATTTCTCTACTGGAAGGGCTCCAGGGGGGCTGCTGATCTGTTGCACATGTTCATTTAAGATATATTTAATGAAATATGTGTTATATACAAAGTGTGTTCTTCCAGGTTTAACTTTCATAGGCAATTACTTCTTTCTCGTGGGCCCGAAGGACAGAAAGGTAGTTGAGACAAAGAACTGCCTTGATCTATTTGGTGCTGGTGGTTGGGCCTTATCCTCCGGAGTTTCTTTCAACGAGTGATGACTACTTGGAGCCAGGTACTGTGACCTCACCTCCCCCCATGCATGCAGGGCAGGGCATAGTGCTGGGTGCACGTCAGACACGTTTAATGGACTGACTCATCTGCATCGAGGAAGGGCACCAACATGTGCCTCGGACATGGCAACCTGGCCTCTTTGAAGCAGTGATGAAAAAGGGCCCAGAGTTGGCAGGAGATGATGTTATGCTTGACCTTGGTACTAACACAGTCCTATAGCCCTAGTCTCCTCTGCATGCACAGAGCCCCAGAGCTCTACCTTCCACCTGCGGGTAGGCTGGGAACCAGTTCCCCTTGTAGAAGAAGTTCTTTTACTGTCTGAGTTGCCCTGTATGGGTCCTCCCCTTTTACCCCCTGCATCCTACTGCATCCTACCAATAGCCTCCTGACAGGGAATCAGAAGCCCTCATGGAAACCTCCCCAGCTGATTGTGTTTGGGACTTCTCTTTCTACTGCGGGAGAAGGTCATCTCCTACTGGGAATGGCTTTGGTCCCTTCTCCAAATGCCTGGCCCTGAGGTCCAGCTCAGAAAGTCAGAACCCCTCAGGCTCATGGAGAAAGTGTCTGGTGGAGTGAGCCCCTGGTAAGGGCTCTGTATGGTCTCCACACTTCTCGTGTCAGCAACTCTGCTGTTCCAAAAAGGCCTTTGGCACTGATTGGTCAGAAATGAGGTGGTATAGGGGAGAGTTATGAATGATGTAACAGTTGGTGCAAGAAACCCTCTGAGTCACTGGATTCTTTCAACACATTTTGAGCCTTCACTCTGCACCGGGCACCCTTCTAGGGGTGGGCGACCCCGTGGTCTGCAAGAGGGACGCCATCCAGGCCCTTCTGTTTCCACGTGTGTGCACATGGTGGGGAAGTTACGTTTCTAATTGAAACGTAACTTATGCGTAGGAGAATGCCGCTAAAATTTCCACTGGTTCCCTTGCCTTCGGTGTACATGTGAAACCTTGGAGAGGGTCTAATATCCCGATGAAGAATTGTCCCTTCAGCTGCCCATTCTGGGACCCCAGACCTCCGAACCTTAAACTCATCCAGGCGAATATGGATTTGTTCCACTGCCCTGTCCAGCACGATGTAGTGATCCTTTACCACTGCTATTTGGTGGCCCCAAATTCTCTCGAGTTCCTCTTCCTAAAGGGGGCAGAAACAGACATCCTAGGCCTCCGCTGCTGAGGTCGCCATGGGTGAGACGGGGCTTGAAGAATGTACCAGCCCAGAGTGTCTCCGACCTGCCCTCTTAACCACCACCAGGACACGTGCCCACCCCTGGGGCCCCTGCCCCAGCCGCAGCAGGATGTGGGGCTGCAGCTGCCTCCCCCGCCCCTCGTTGCCCCAGGCCTCTTTTTAGCTACAGGACAAATGCTCGGTCTAGTTCTGGGTCACAGTCCGCCATCAGCTTGTCTCATGTCATCATCTCAGTAAAAGCTCTTTCTGCCCAAGACACTGACCTGCATCCTGGATTTCTGGAGACTGCCAAGCTTTTCTTGCAGTATGTCCACTGTTGTCCCAATCTTGGCAGAGGCTCCCATACTAGCTGAAAGCAAAGGAGAGGGTGGCTGTTGGGGGCAGGAACGGGGGAAGATGCTTTGTTTAGAGTCCCACCTGCTTCTGTTATGAGATGTTGGAGGCAGCGCTGTCCGATAGAGAGATATCATGCTGTGAGCTTGGGGGGCCTTTGAGGTCATTTAAAGTTTTCTAGGAGTCACATTTTAAAAATCTAAAAAGAAGCAGGTGACATTAATTTTAATAAGACATTTTTAACTCAATATATCCAAAATAGTATCATTTAAAGATATAATAAAAATTATTGAGATATTTTACATTCTTGTTTCTGTATTAAGCCTTCAATATCCACTGTATGTTTTCCACTTCGAGCACATCTGACCTTGAACTCGCCCCAGGTCAAGTGCTCGATAGCCACAAGTGTTTCCAGGTTATCATATTAGACAGAGCAGATCTAAGGAACATGCTCCAGAATTAACTAAAAACAAAGCAAAACAGAATCAACACCCCTCCCAAAAAACACCCTGAGCAAAACTATGAAGTACCTTATTTATAAGTATATTATTCACTACAAAATAAAAAGGGAAGATTTAACAAAAGAGGAGAGGGGTAAAAAAAATACATTGTGGGGAGGGGTGGGTGGAGGTGGAAAGGGGATAGGTGAGATAAATGGCAGTGAAAAAAAACAATGTAAAAAGTAATATGCTATTTCCAGTTCCAGATGGGAGGCCAAAAAACTAATATACAGGTCAGAGCTAGGGATGTATGAAAAATTGTAGCCACGATATGTTTACAGCCTAACTATAGCTTTAACAAAAATAGCAGCTGATCAGTGGTAGACTTTGGGCTATTACAGCTTTACATTTTAAATTTAAATTCATTACTATCAGAACCTTAGCTGTGCCCCAGTATTCACTGATATCAGTGTAGGTGTTTTTTTGTTTGTTTTGTTTTTGTTTTTTTATTCTAGAGAGAGGGGAAGGGAGAAAGAAAGGGAGTGAGGAAATCATTGATGTGAGAGAGGACCATCTATCAGGGGTTGACTGCTTCACTGGCCTCAGCTGGGGACCCATGCCTGGGTCCCCAAACCCAGTACCCAGACATGTACCCAGACTGGGAATCAAACCGGCGACCTTTTGGTTTGTAGGATGATGCCAAACAAACTGAGCCACACTAGCCAGGGTTCAGCATGGTTCTTTGTAGCTATGCAAAATTCTTTTTCTTTTCAAGGTTTGTGGAATAGCACCACCCATCAGGGGCAGCACTGTACATGGGTTGTACTTAGGTTAATTCAACAATTATACTTGGCAGAGAGCAAAACAGAAAGATAATGATTTAAAGAAGGTAGGGAAATGGATCTCAGAGTGGGTTCCCAGGCCAGCAACATCAGCAGCATTTCCCCAGGAAGGGTCAGAAATGCACATTCTTGCCCACCCCCACCCCACCCCCTGCCAATAGCCTGAATCAGAAACGGGATGGGCCCCACAGTCTGTGCTTTACCAAGCCCGCCAGGGGGTGCTGAGGCAGGCTCAAAGTTGAGAACCGCTGAAGTGGGCCACCGTGTCCCTCCATACCCCTCAGTGAGCACATGCCCATCGTGGGCATGAAATGGAGCATAAATCTACTGGCCCCACGGCCACCCAGAATGTGAGTATGGTCTTTAAGGGTCTCCATGTTTGCCTGGCAGTTGTTCCTAATCCCAAATTGATCATTTCATCTGGGGCCTGTTCAGCACTGTTGGACACTCCGGAGGATCTGGATTTGTCAAAACACCATACAGTAGGACTGGGTTTTATGGGTGATTTTCAAGAGTGATTTTTGACATGAAATTTTCCTTTCTAAGCACCAGCTTTAGACTCGAAACTGCCCCTCAGTCCTAAGATGAGACCTCACTGTACATTCATTGTAAAGGATAGAGTAGACTAGAAAGAGGCTAATGCTTACACCAAAGGAATGTAGACTTTGTTGGGGCAGTTAAACAAAGGAGAGGAGGTGCTTCTTGCAGGCCACAGGGAGGGCCTGAGCCCTTACCGCCTTTCCCAGAGCCAGTCTGGGCCTACCTAGATAACCTATGCGCTGTTCCAAGTTGGTTGACAGCTGGACAAGCTCTTCTTTCAGGGAGTCGTGTCGAATAGGTATCTGCGCTATGTGGCTCATGGAATACTTGACGGCCTTCTTCTTGTCTTCGGGGGTCACAGCTTGTTTGGCTGCGAGCATGGACTGGGAGAAGGCAGTATCGGGTGGGATGAAGGCAGCAGCAGCATGTGAAGAAGGCCAGATGTCACTGTAGTCTAGCTCCTGCAAGTCTTCCATCTCGGTGTCATTAGGGAAGACCACGGAGCCTGTGGCCCCACGGGAAGACCCAGCGCCCATGACATCTGCAAAGACCCCTAAGGGCCCAGATGCGGCCACGGTTGTTGCTACCGTGGCCAGTTTGGTGGCGGGGGCATCTTTGACGACCTTGGCAGCGATCCCGGCTGCCCGGGCTGCTGAGGTCGCAGCAGCTGCATAGGCGGCAGCGGCAGCAGCTGCAACGGCAGCAGTGGTTTTCATCTTTTGAAGGGCAAACTGGGATTCCTTAGGGGCCATTTCCTTGGGGGCCTCAGCTCTGGGGGCTTCATCCTGAGATATTTTCTTGTGCGGTAAGTCCTCTTCTTCTGCACTTTCTGAGACAACTGGGAGCTCATGCACCTCTGCACGGTGAGACTGTGATGACCGTGGGTAAGGCCAAGTAGAGCCAAGTTCTGTGGCTGGTGGTGGGGCCCTCAAGCCTGGGGGCTGAGCAGACAGGGGGCCCATTGGGCCTTGGCTAGGCTGGATGGAACCTAAGTCCCAGAAAGGCCCAGTGCTAGGCCTAGGCAAGCCTCTGGGAGGAGGCCAGCTACCTGGCATTAAAGGCCAGCTACCTGGCATAAAAGGCCAGATTCCTGGTGGGGCGAGTTGAGGGCCTGGGGCAGGCCCAGGTCCGAATGCAGTCTCAAGCCCAGGGGCAGGCCCAGGTCTGAACGCAGTCTCAAGCCCAGGGGCAGGCCCAGGTCCAGAGGAAGGCCCAGGTTCATGGGCAGGCCTAGGTATGAATGGAAGCCAAGGTGCTAGTGTGAAGTCAGGTGTCAGATGGGGCCCCTGCCTGGGTCCAAGTGCAGGCATGGACTTAGGCTCTGGCCTCGGCATCAAACCAGGCCTGGGTCCAGGTGCAGACCCAGTCTTGGCTGCTGGCCAACGCTCCAGCACCTGAGGTTTCCCCAACCCTGGGGCCCCAGTGAGTGGAACTGCCCGGGTAGACTCCTCCTCCCGTAGTTTCTCTGGGACCTGGTAATGCAAAGTGGTATCCAGGAGCTTGGGGAGTTGGACAGCCTCTGAGATCTGGCTCTGATGAGCAGTTTCAAGGTACTTGGTGGTGTGGGGAAGGTCAGTCTCTTGGAGCTGATCTGTAATCTGCCACAGATCAGAATCCTCCAGCTGTAGAGAAGTAGCTCCCTGTGGAAAAAATAGCTGGGCTGGCCAGGGCTGCCCAAGGCCAGCTCAGTGGTCACCCTGCCTGCTCCCTCACACCTACTTCCCCTGCCTCTCTCCTCCTTCACTTACTGGGGTGAACATAGCCTCATGGAGGCTGCTCCAGAGTACCAATTCCTCAGTTTTGGGGATGGTGAGGATCTTGTTCTGGAGAATAGCCTAGGAGGTAGAGGAGGGGGTTGGGAATGAGGGACGTGAACCTGAAGGGTATGAAGCCCTTGGGTGACTCCCTCATCCACACTGTCCTTCACACTTGCAGATAAATGGGCCTTTCCAGACTGTGTTCCCCTCCTTTCCCCTCCCAGTCCTAGGCACCCCTGGGCCCCGGAGCTCAGGGGACCAGGGTGGAAAAATGGGACTACGGCCCTCACCACATCCCGCTGCAGCGCGTTCATCTTCCGATTCTGCCCTTTCAAATCATCAAAGAAAGTGGCTATTTTTTCCACATGTATCTGTCAAATGAGCCAAACCCATGGGTTAGAAGTGCAAGTTCTGGTCCCAGCCCTGCTTCTCCCACTGCTCAAATACAAGGACTTAGGTCTAGGTGACTAAGAGTTGGAGAAGCAAGAAAAAGTGTTTCCCAGAGAGTAAGAAAGGAGTAGAAAAGGGTTCTCTGGGCAAATACATTTGGAAAATGTTGGGCTTAAAAAGCCTTCCATGGGTGTTTGTACTGTAGGACTTCTCAGAGCCTTTAATGGACAAATGTACATTAAGAATCTCCAAGAGGTAAGCTGAGTGGGCATTGTTTCTCAATAGATTTGTCCAACGGTTCTTTTTAGTATTTCATGACACAGTTTCCTAACAGTACCCTTTTTGCTCAGATGGGAGCTACCTAGCCCAAGACTGAAATTCTCACAGTTGCTCTGACAATCAAATGCGTACACTGAGCTGTGCATTGGGGACAATAATGAAATCATGTCATTGGGAGGCTGCTTGTAACACCTCAGCCACAATACAACCTGAGGGGTATGTAGAGCTGGCTTCTAAGCCCAGTTCTGACTCCTCAGCTATGAGATCACACTTCAGAAATTCCATGTCCTTCCACATCATGGTAAGGAGTTATAACATGCCTGGGTTGATGTCCTTGTGGCTAAAGAAGGAGCTAGCATGTAGGCCTGTACTAGGTTTATTCCACTTCTCAGAGTAAACAGAGTTTTCTAGAAGAGGAAGAGGTGTTCTCTTTCTCCTAAGTTGATGGAACGTAAGCCTGGAGTAGCCAAGACTTAGGGAATACCTACCTACCTAAATATGAAGCCAACCCAAAGGAAAATCATCACTGAGAGAGAGATATTGATGTGGCATGACCACCTTGATCAAACAGGACCTGAAACGATCCTGGACTTTTTACCTAAGCCAGAATGGCTTAAGTTTCTGATACTTGCAAATGGTGTCCTAACACTGCAGTGTGAGGAGCACAGCATGGTGGAAGCCATGGAGAGTTCAGGCGGATGGGCCAAGTGGCTGGACCATGTCAGCCCCCATCTCCTGCCCCCATGGCTGTGTCCTTTGACTAATAACAGGCTTCCTAGATTTATTCTGTCACCCACCCAACAGCAGTATGAAAAGCATGGCCAGCTTGGAGGATGATGGGGAGGGTCTACCTTATTAACTATGTCCATCAGCTTGTCCACATCCTTCCGGAGGGTTTCAGTGGTGGCCTTCAGTGCATGAATGTCAATGAGCAAATCCTGCAGGGTCTTCATGGACTGAAGAGGGAGAGAGGAGGGGAAAACACAAAGTTGGGTGTGGCTGGCAGAGAAGAGAAGTAAGCTCTCTGATGATTGCCACACTCTAAGAAGTCTTCTTGACTCTTGTAATGCCGAGGCTGGAACACACTTAGAGGTCAGCAAATGACACTTAAGTCTACAGTGCTCTGAGCTCTCAAGTAGCCTGGGTGGAAAGGAAGCAGCCCTGTGTTTGAATGTATTCAGTAACCAGATGTCACTCATTATGAAGCATCTCATGGCCTTTGGTGGACACCATAGGAGGATCAGCAAGGGAGTTATTATTGGATTTACATTTTTAAGGGGTCCTCCTGGCTGCATGTGTAGATTGTCCCGGGAAGACAACAGGGGGAGCTGGAGGACCAGTGAGGAAACTTCAGGCAAGAGCTGATGGGTGCAATGCTGGGCTCATAGCTCAGTTTCACCGCTGGCTGGAGGTGTTGCTGCATCTTTCTAAGTTCTGGATTCCTCGATCATAAAATGGTCATAAAAATGTGATAATGTATATAAAGGGCCTAGTGTATAGTTAGGCATTTGGCTAACAAAAATAACAAATAGCAAAATGACAGAAGTCCTTCTTATTAGTAATTATATTAAATGTAAATCAATTAAAATTTCCATTAAGTGGCAGAGATTAGCAGAATGAATGAATAAAAAAAACATGATCCAAACTCGTGGTGCCATAAAGACATTTTAGCTTCAAAAGTGCAAATAGGTTGAAAATAAAGTGATATAAAAATACATATCATGCAAGCAATATCCAAAAGAGAACTGCAGTGGCTATACTAGTATCAGGTAAAATGGACTTTAAGACAAAACTTGTTACTAGAGACACAGAGGGACATTTATAATGGCAAAAGGGTTAATCTACTGGGATATATAATAAGCAAAACATATATGCACCTAACAATGGAGTCCCCAAAAAACATGAAGCAAAAACTGGCAGAACTGAAAGGAGAAATAGACAACAAGAATAGTTGGAGACTTCAGTGCCCCATTTCCAATAGTGGATAAAGCAACTAAACAGATCAGCAAGGAAACAGGAAGATTTGAGCAATGCTATAAACCAGTCAGACATAACAGTCATCTATAGAAAACTTCATTTAACAATGGCAGAATATACATTCTTCTAAGCACACATAGAACATTCTATAGGATAGACCATAAGCTAGCCATAAAAACAAGTCTCAATAAATTTAAAAAGGGCTGAAATCATAAAAAAATGTGTTTTCTGACCACATGTAATACAATTAGAAATCAACAGTAGAAACTAGTAGATATTCACAGATGTGTGGAAATCAAACAGCATCCTCCCAAGTAACTAATGGGTCCAAGAAGAAATCACAAAGGAGATTAGAAAACACGCTGAGATGAATTAAAATTAAAACAACACACAATAATTTATGGGATGCCGCTAAAGTAGTGCTCAAAGAGAAATTTTAGCTGGATGTGACTATATTAACAAAGAAGAAAGGTCTCATATCAAGCCTAACCTCCTATCATAAAACACTGGAAAAAGTAGAGCAAACTAAACCTATTCCAAGGAAAGAGAGAGAGAGAGAGAGAGAGAAAGAGAGAGAGAGAGGGAGGGAGGGAGGGAGGGAGGAAGGGAGGAAAAAAGAAACAATAAATATTAGAGTGGAAACTAATGGAGTGGAGAGTAAAAAATAATAGAGGCAGTCAACAAAACTAAAAGCCTATTCTTTGAAAAGATCAACAAACCCAGAAAAGATGGTAAATTTTACAGACAGCTCAATGATCGAGGGCTACACATGAGAGGAGAAAGAGAAAGATTATTTTCTCGTGAGCTGCTGCTGCTGTGAGCGTACGTTCATGATACACTCTCTCCTAGAAGTCAGCCGAGTGCTACCTGCTGAGCAGCCCGGCACCAAGAAATAGAGTCACACAAGGTAACTATGCTATTCACTCAGCTTTTACTGAATGTAGGTTCACTCAAAGTAGGACAGCAACATACAATATCCTACTCACATTCTAACAATCTAAGAGAGATATATAATACACACACACACAGCAGTCAGCAGGGAATATTGAACCAGAGGCCCAGAGTCTCAGTCTGCAGGTTCCAGAGACAGCATGGTGGGCAAGGGAGTCATCAGAGTCTCTGGAGCCAGGTGGACAGACGAAGTCTTCAGTCCAGCAGGGCAGAGCCTCCAGTGGCCAGTGCCAAGGGGGATCAGCATGGCATGGAGCATCTCTCTAGTGTGTGGAGCTCAGCTGTCTCAGGAGTGGTCTGGAGCCTGCCTCAGTTATACCTTGAAAGTGGTGCACTCCACCCTTCTGGGTCTCTTAATAGGTATCTTGGCAGCCTTGATGGCAAGTGGGGAGTTTGCCCAGGAGCCTATCTATGGGTGGTCCCATTCTGCAGACATGGCTGTTCTGATCACATGTGCAGATATCTTAGGTGTGTCTCCTTGCCAGATGTATCTAATGTGACTTAGGTAGTGTCCCTCTTGAACTAAAATGTTAAGGCCGACTGGCAGCCATCTTGGTTGACATGAGTGACTCCACTTTGTTTTATATACTTCATGCTCTCTTGACCAGACCAGTGCCACTTTATTGGTCCTGCTCTCCACAGGTGCTCTCCTATGATAGTCAGTTACAGGTTTCCCACCCCAGATCCAGCCTGCTCCTCACAAGCCTAGGGACATGCCCTGGACTCTAGTCTAGGGAGGAAAGGCCAGTGGAGGGGCACTGGAGAAAAGGTCAGGGCCTAGACTGTGTGGCTGGGAGAATAACCTGGAAGGGCCCACAAGGCCCCTCAGACTGTAAACGGAGCTTGGACTGAGCCATATTCAGGGGAGGTGAGCCTGGCAAGCTGCCCTTGCTGGAAGTGGACCCCAAGGTGTGTGAAATGCCCTGCAGGCACTTGCAACTAGACTTGTCCAGACTTGCATGGACTCTGGCTTTCTTGCTCTCCGTCTCTGAAGGGGGCTTTCAGAATGTCGATTCAGGTTGGTGACCCAGTGCTTTCAAGAGGCCTGTAAAGGATCAGTGAGGGGGTTCAAGGCAAACACCCCCTCAGACAAGCAGCTAGACTGATCTATGTGGCCAGAGCTTTGGGAAATGGGAATGCTAACACCCCACACCTTCCAGACAGACCTAGGAGTGCAGTGACACTTCCTGGGGCCCTGGGGCTGGGGGACAGGGTCCTGCCAACCTATGAAATTTATTGCTGCTTTACAGAAACTTTGACCCTGATTCTCTAAATCCCCAAAGTGTCTTCCATGCCCTTAAACTTGGTTAAGAAATTCTCAAAAACCAATATAAGTTTCAAATTATTTTAATTGTGGGATATATAGTAGGAGTTTTGGGTTGGAAGAGTAAAATTGTGAGGGAGGGTTTTTTTTAAAGATTTTATTTACTTATTTTTAGAGAGAAGGGAAGGGAGGGAGAAAGAGAGGGAGAGAAACATCAATTGGCTGCCTCTCACATGCACCCCACTGGGGACCTGGCCTGCAACCTAGGCAGGTTCCCTGACTGGGAATCAAACCAACAACACTGGTTCACAGGCCGACACTCAATCCACTGAGCCACACCAGCCAGGGCATCTACTCAGCAGTTCTCAACAGTGGTGCTTTGGCCCCAGTGGGTTTATGGCAACATCTGGAGACATTTGGGGTTGTCATGACTATGAGGAATTCTTGGTAACCTGATGGGTGGAGCCCAGGGATGCTGCTAATTTATCCCACAGTGCACAGGACAGTCTCCACCACAAAGAATCACCCAGCCCAAAAGTCAGTACTACCAAGGGTGAAAACCCCTGCAATCAATCTACCTGCTAAGTAACAACTTGTCGCAGTATCTGAGCCCCTAAATCTGGTGGTGGTATGACCAAGGGCACAGCCCTTGGGCCATGCCTGTGGGTCCTCCCAAACCTCTCCAGGAGCCTCCATGGTGCCTGCCCTAGTTTTCCAGGGGCCATTCACCTTGACTAGTGCCCATAAAGGGCAGCTGAGGACACACCCAGCCATCCCGGAGAAAGGAGGCAGAAGGAGGCAGGCGAGGTGACCCCTGCCATCAACATAGCATTTTGGCTGCCAACCTGACTGGGTGCAGGCACTTAGCTAAGCAGCTTGCACCATCTGAGAACAGCTGCCATGGCAGCTCCCTACAATGGGTCATCGAGGCAACCCTGGCAGCCTCAGCCAGGCTCCCACAAGGTGACTTTCTCTAACAGTAGGGACATTGCTAAGTGCAAAAACAGTCCTCTAAGGCCTGCACACCCCAGTCTAAACTCATCCGTCTGCCCCTTTCCTGCACAGGTTGGGTCACTCTGGGTACTCATGCATTCTAGAAGCCTTCATCCATCAAGGTAAGTAGAAGGCAAGCTTCTCTGAAGGGGCTGGCACCTCTCCAACCTCTGAAGCCCTCCATAATCGGCCCTCTGCCACCCATGCAGCCTTCTTTGTCTTTAGTACCAATTTGTTGTCTTAAAGTCTATCTTGTCTAACAGCGTAGTCACTCCGGCTGTCCTCTGGTTACTGCTTACATGGGCTTTCTTTTCCCATCCTTTTACTTTCAACCTATCTATGTCCTCGAATCTAAAATGTGTCTCTTGTAGACAGAGTACAGGTAGAACACGTTTTTTTATTTTTTGTTTTTAAAGATTGATTCTGCCAATCTCTTTGTGTGTATGTGGTAAAACACACATAACAATACTAAAGTGAAAAATTCAGTGGCATTTAGTTCATTCACAAGGTTGTACAACCATCATCTCTACTTAGAAGAGTTTCAACATTTAGAACACAGGCGGCAAACACAAGTCCTGCAGGCTGAATCTGGCCCTCCACCTTTGTTATATCCGGCTTGGTACCTTGTTTCTACCCAGCAGCAGTGCCGAGCTCCTTGCCCCTAGTTAAGGAGTAGTTACATTTACACAGTCCTAAAATTACATTCAGCCCTTTGAAGGCAGCCACGAGGCTGATGTGGCCCCCCATGAAAATGAGTTTGACACCCCTGATTTAGAACACCCATCAGCAGTCACTCCCATTGCCCCATCCCCAGCTCCTGACAACCACTAATCCACTTCCTATCTCTACAGATTTGTCTGTTCTGGATGTTTTATATAAACAGAATCAGGCAATATGTGGTCCTTGTGTCCAGCTGCTTCCACTGAGCATGATAACTTACAATTCTTCTGTGTTGTCGACTTGCCTCTCTCGCCTGGCATCAGCCCACCGTGGCCAGACTGGATTCTCCCTCCTCCCACCCACACCAAAAGTTGATGTTTTTGCAGGGCTCTGGGTGCCTGGCTTTGCTGAGGTCCTGATCCATCTCAGTTCCCCTGCTCAGTTCAAATCTCTGAATAATAGTAATAGTGACCACTGATTGGACACCTAAAGTATGTGGAGCTCTGTGCTAAGCAATTTCCATACATTATTTGATTTTATCTTAATTCTTGCAACAATTCTGGGAGAAAGAAACCATCACCTTCTCCCCACCCTTTCCAGTTGGGAAGTGGCAGCATGTCCAGCGCCCCACATAACTATGCCTTTCACTAACCCACTCTGCCCAAGACAAGTCGAATGCCCATTTTCTAACCCTGTGACACCGAGTGGGTTCCTGAACCTCTCTGTGCCTCAATTTGCTCATCTGTAAATTTGGGATAATAATAGAATCTGCCTCACAGAGTTGCTTTGAAGATTAAAGAAGCTTACAGACACAAGTATCTAGCTTACCTGGTGAATGATGAGCCCTTCCTTTCTGTGCTTGCCACACCTGGCGGCTGTTCTACTCTCTGGCTGGGGGCTCTCTGTCTTGTGGCTTCCCCCCACTGGCCCTGCCTCCTGTGCTAATCTCTCCCCTGAGACCAGACTAGCCTTCTCCAGGGCAGCTTAGTTCCCAAAAGGAAAGACTGCACACTTCCTGGATGAGATCGAATGCTTTTCCCTGGCACCCGAGGACCCTCAGGGTAGAGCCCTAGCCCACCTTCCAGCTCATCTTCCATGACCCTCCTCTGGGGATCAGCCAATAAGACTGTCCCTTGTGTCCCAAGTATGCCCTGTGCTGGCAGCTGTCACTTGCTCCTCTGGAAAGGGTGCCTTCAAACATCTGTCTGCTGATCTTCTATCTGCTTTTCCAGAACCATCTCAAGCCCGACACCCTTCTCCCAAAGCTCTGCTCCCAGTCCCCTTTACGGCACGCACCTCAGAGTGGTCCATCCATTTGATGGAAGCTCTCCATCAGCCCCTGCATGTCCATCCTTCATCCTGGCTGTACACTCCGTGCCCTGAGCCTGGCCCACAGGCACTGTGCTTACCATACCACTCACCCTCCAGTTTAACCAATGGGAGAATGATGGGAGAAAGGGCAGGGTATTTATTTCCCAGTATTCAGAGTCTTCCCCAAGACCACAGGCTGTGATGGAGAAGCACGGGCTGAGCGGGAGGCAGGAGAGTACGTGGCCCAAGGCAGGCCCTGGGGCAGAGGCCGAGGCCCTCTCCTGTCACTGGCAGCAAAGTAGTGAACATTTCTGAGTGTCGTTTCTCACCTGTAAAGTACAGATAGTACTCTTTCCCACTTTTCCTACAGATTTTTACTCACTCGCTTTCTGTCTGTCACCCTTGCTAGAACATGAACTCCTCTTCACCATGACTACCTGGCACCTCCCTCGTGGGTGGTCCACAATTATTACTGTTTTTTACTGAGGTGAGATTCACATAACATATAAGGAACTATTTTAAAGAGAACAACTTAGTAGCATTTACTGCATTCACAATGAAACCACTGCCTCCATCTGGTACAAAGCCGTTCCATCCCCCCAAAAGGAGATCCTATAACCAGGACGCAGTCCCTCCCCACTCCCTGTTCCATCTGGGCCCTGGCAACCACACATGTGCTTTCTGTTTCTATGGATGTGCCCATTCTGGATGTTTCATATAAATGAAATCACACAATATGTGGTCGTTGTGTCTGGCTTCTTGCCTCAATACTTGATGAATACAAGCTTGGAGCTTTGGTCTGCCTGATGACCCGACAGGGTGGGCCCATCACAAAGGGATATGAGGGACTAGGTGGCGAGATGCCTGGGAGAAGAGCAAGGGGGCAAGAAGCTTGCGGAGGCCAGGCGGTTTACCTTCTCAGTGGCTTCTTCATTGCCTTCCACCATCTTCCGGAGCTTTATCAGCTGCCATAGTTCCTGGGCTGGCCGGCAGGCCCCCTGGCTGGCTTGCACCAGCTCAGAGGTAGAGGGCAGGTCCTGCAATGTGGCCATCTGGCTCTCCATCTTGTCAATGCGGCTCACCACGTGGTCAAAGACGTTGCTCAGCCTCTTCATGGGGTTGAGGATGGGCTGAGCATCTCCTTCCCGGGGCATGAACACAGCCTGCGAGGACTGGAGGAAGTCCTCATCCCCCGAGAGGACCTTCTTGAGCTCAGCCATTTGGATGTGCTCCAGGATGCCATGGAGGAGAAGGTGCATGGCCTTGAAGTTCACCACACCGCACTGTGGGATGGCGATGTTGACCAGCTCAGAGAATGTGAGTGAGAAGCTCATTCTACCAGGGCTGTTGGCGGGGATGGGGTTCTGGGCACCTTTGGGGACAAGTGGTGGCTTTCACTGGATCCACAAGCTGCACAAACAGATGCTCAGAGACCCAGAGAAGCTGCAAGTGACAGCAGTCAGAGGGAAAATGGCCTCTGTCCTGGCCAGAGTTCAGATGAGAGTTTTTTTGTTGCTAGGATACCAAAGAATGTGGCAGTGGGCGTGCTTCCAAGGGTCTGGAGTGGAAGAGAGTAGGTACTCAATTAATAGTTGATGAATGTTTGAACAAAGGGCTGGCCTTTTAACTCAAGCCCTTTGATTATATAAGACCAATGACCCTTTCCAAGAAGCATGCCGGGAAGGTAATGGGAGTGGCAGCTTGCTCCTTGGAAGTCTCTAGGATTAGAACAGGAGACAGAGTTCTTGGAGTTGGGAAAGCCCAGGTTTCAGGAACAGAATCTGAAGAGCTAAGCTGGTTGCAGGACAGTGGCCAAAGCCCACACAGGTGCTCCAGTTTCTGGAGGAGGAAGGTGGAAGGGCATGAGGCAGCCAGCTTTCATTAGGTCTAGATCCTGCATGTGTCCCTGCCCTCCCAGGGACGTGAGTGATATCCCAAACTCTGCTGTGCTACCCCCTTGAGCTGGGGCTCACAAAGACCCCAGTGCTCTAAAAGCCTTGAGGGCATGGCCTGCTGCTGCAGAACTTGGAGGCTGCCTAGGCCCCTGTATGTTCAGGCCCTGCTTTCATCAGTTCTCAGACAAGAACACGACAGTCTGCTGGGCCTGGTCTCCTAGGGAATTCTGCAGGGAAGACTGCAGCCCCTGCAACCTCTGGAGCCCCCACTCCTGGTTCACTCCCAAATTCCTGGCATAAGTACACACTGCTCACACACAGCACACAGCATGAGCCCTCCTCAGGGGCTGAGTTGTCTCAAGGTCAGTCTTTCCTAGCTTCCCCAAAGAAGAGATAGCAGTCGCCTGTCCACTTTGGGCTTATGCATATGACTCTTTCTCAGCAGCTATGTGACCTTGTATAAATGACCGGCTGGGTTTTAGGGGTGTTTCATAGTCTGGGTTCAGCAATCAAGGCCCCTGTTGCCAGGGTCTGGTGCCAGGCCCGGTAGCCAGTTCTGTTTCTGATAATAGCTTGTGTTGCAGGTGGTTGATGTGTTCTGTCCAAAATCAAGTGCGGCAGCTGCCTTGTGGGAGGGCTTGACAACTCACCCTGCAAGACATCAGAGGGCCTTGGTATAGTCTAGTGGACACAAGCAGCATCACAGAACACCAGGCTCTCCAGGGCTGCTGTGCTCCCATGAAAGGCCAAGACAAACCAGATAAGTTGTAATTATGTCTGAACTCAGACAAAAATAAGAATACTATACAAACCACTAACATGACCAGATAGCCCCCTATCCCGGCTAGTATGAGTAACCACTGCTTGTTGGCCAACTAGAGCTTTATCTGTTTCAATCCTTCTGCCTTCTACATAAGATTGATTAAAATGTCCAGTCATAGAATTAGCCCTGCTTCCTGGCAGTGCCCAATCCAGAACACTCCCTCTAGTCACCTAACATGAGCCCAAACTCTATTAATAAGTCCTAACTTAACCCTCTTATGAGATTCTCCTGGATTCCCCCCTGTGTTGCATGACCTACAAATTCAAGGGCTGCCCTGACATCTTTGAGCCTCACAGGGCCCTGAGTTTTCCTATTCCTCTCGGACATGCCCCCCACCCATACCCGATAGGAAAGGCTCTTCACTCAGCTAGTTCTCCCATCAGCCAGACCAGCTGCACTCCACCCCATCCGTATCTGAGGGGCTTCGGTCTCAGTTCTCTGCCAGCTTGAGAAACTATTCAAACAAGCCAATCACCTCCTGTTGGGAACCACCCTGCCTGGTTTCAGAAGCTGTAACCCCCCATGGCTAAGGCTGAGTGACAGACCTTGGGACTCTAAGCCACTAAGGAGACAGGGCTTATCTCCCTGGCAGGGGCACTGTCTCTGCCCTCTTTTACTTCATCCTGCTTGGTCCCCAGTGCATGATCAGTTAGCCAATGATAGGTAGAATTCCTTAAAGGAGGGAGGATCTAAGACAGGCATAATCACAAGGGGGACCTCAGGGAACGACTTGGGGGGCTATAGCAAAAGGGGGTGATGGACCCTCACCCCTCAGCTTTGACATAGCCTGAGTCCTCATTCTGTCCACAAAAAGGTTCCTACTCTCTTGGCTGCCTTACTTTCCCCTGCTCAACCTAAGCCTGAAACAATGCTGGGGCATGACCCTGTGCTGGAAAGGGCAGGTTCCCCAGGGCAATCAGGCCTAAGAAAGAATGCATAAAATCCTGTGAAACCTGCTTTGCTAAGAATGTCCTCAATTTTCTGATAAGGGTCTGAGCAGGATATGAGTTTGTTTCTCAAAGTTTTGTAGCCCTTTAGCTAACAGACCCTGACTCAGAATAAACCTTAGTAGTTCTTTGTATGTTATCTATTGTTTCACCCTTACTGCCTGACAATGATTGATGAGCTTTACCTGTATTCCTGTGCAATTTGAACCCAATAAAAGTCCATTGAGGAACAGGCTGCTGGCTCTTCTCCTTTGAGAGAACAGCCACCTTTCCTCTCCAGGCAGATCATGTCTTGGTAGACTTATTCTCATCCATGGTGGATGGGGGGCTCTGCGGGCAAAGCTCCCCACAACCTTCCCCTTGTTGGAACCATGGGCACCCCACCCCATTACTACAAAGCCTGCATCCTGCTTCCTCAGCTGGTTCACTCTGTTCCTTAGTGCAGCCCTGAGGGACCCTGACTGGTGTGTGGGAACCAGTACATGTGGCTGATAACTGCTGCCGATCTCACCTGTCTACCACGGGCTGTCGTGCTACTGAGGGCAGAGGTCCCTCCCACCAGTGGAGTGAAAGGGAGATATCAGAACATGCATGGTGTGTATTCTCCCTTGTAGCAAAAGTCAGTAAACCCAACTTTGCCCAACTACAGTAGGTTCCTAATGGTCTTGATTGGAGAGGCTGACCCTGCGAACTTCCAAAAAAACCTTGCAGTGGCCAGAGCTTTTTGGATTTTGGAACTGCAGACAAAGGGTTGTGGAACTGCATTATTATGGAACCATAAGCAAGACTTTCCTACTTTGGCAAGGGAAGATCAGGGGAAATGGGTAGTTCAGTATAGTCACACGACTGGAGAGGTGAGTGTGAAGCCAGACCAAGGAACTGCCCATGAGCCTTACAAAGAAATGCGAGTGATAAAATGTGAAGCAATTCTCGATTCTTGGGGGGTAGGCTGGGTACTGGGTACATGGAAGTAACGGCTGTGTGTCATTCTGGAGGAATGCCCAGCATCTAAAATCATTCCTGTGCCTGGAGAGGTCTCCACTTCAACAGTCCTGTGGGAGGTTGAGTGTCAGTTACTAGTTCCCCAGGTTACTCTGAGGCTGGGGCATGGACATTTATGGAAATGCCACAGTTGGTGCTGGCAGCTCCCGGGGCCCATAGAATATGGTCCTCTAGGATTTAAGAAAATAAAGCTGTTGAATCTGCCTAGGTTGCAACAGTTCAGAGAGGTGGAAACTTAGTTTAAAGAGCCCAGTCTGGATTCAGGCCTTCAAAGTAAGGGCTACAAGCCAACAACAAGATAGTGATATGTTTCCTGGCACCTGTCACTGGGCCTGACACTAACTCTTCAGTCTTTCCTTCAACCAGTGTTTATTAAGCACCTAACCGGTGCCAGATGATGTTCTTAAATACAGAGGAGACTACAGCAAGTAGGTCTGATGAGGTCTCTGATCTCACAGAGCACGCAGGCTAGTGAGGGAGATGGACACTTACTTTACAACAAGGAAAGAAAATCACTGCAGGTAGCAATAGGAATTAGAAAGATATAAAACAGGACAAAATGAGGAGAGGGGATGGGCACTAATTTAATAGGGCTCTTGGGCTAGCCAGCCTCCAAGACGGCTCCCAAGGTAAGCCTGGACTCTCACACTTATGTGGTCTGCTCCCAACCAATCCCAGCAAAACTGGTCATGGACCTTATACACCAATGCATCTGTGTGCACACATACACTCATTCATTTCACACTACAGAATGTCAAGGTTTGGGTAAATTGTGTATGTTACAGGTAATTTGATGTTGCTAAATTGGAACATGTATGATAAAAATACTAAGAAAAGCCAATGTGTTAGACTTGAAAGAATCCATAAACTTTAAAAATCATGTCATTTTAGGTCTGGAAATGAAATGCTTCACAAAACTGAAAGATCTAAAGACCTGGCGACTCCATAGGATGTTCCTGGCTTCCTGGAGGATTTGCTGGCCTCAGAGAGGGACCCTGCCCTTACTTGGGTCAATAGACAGCAGCTGTGATCTGGCACCATTCAGTTCTAAAGACAGAACCCTAATTCAGACAATTTCAGAATGAACTTGTTACTGGGATAGACTTTGAATGGCTAGTTGGAGCCAGAAACCAATTAATGTGAAGGAGTTACACTTTTTTCCTCCCAAATAAATTGAGGTTAAAGATTACATCAGTTCTATAAAGTGCCCTTTAGCTGCTTTGCCCAGACGAGCCCTTTTTTTTTAAGAGAGAGAGACAGGAAGGAGGAGAGAGAGAAGAAAATCAATTTGTTGTTCCACTTATTTATGCACTCACTCGTTGCCTCTTGCACTTGCCCTGATCAGGGATCAACCCTGCAACCTTGGCATATTGGGATGATGCTCTAACCAACTGAGCCACCCAGCCAGGGCCCAGCCAAACCATTTTTTTATGTTGGATAAATGCCTAAAAATGATAACCAGGTGTTCTTTCCTCTCTTGCTCCAGAAAGAACTGAGAGGAGGAAGGACCCATGGTAAAGGATTAGAGGTTGTGGTGAATGCCTGCTGTTTCCGGCTACCTAGTATCTGGACATTCTGCTCACTTGAAGTGGGGGTGAAGATGGAGGTGGCAGATGTCATAACAAGTGCAGGCAAACTTGCCCTCTACTCAAAATCTGGTGATCCAA